GCCAGTACTTGTAATTGGTGATATGAGTTGCCACTGAGATAGAAGCAGGCGAAGTCCTTTATCCTGGAAAGCCAGCGGTATGGTGAGCGCCGAAGGAGTTGCCATGAGGATCAGAACTTTAGGGGGGCAACAGATTTTTGATAATGCTCGACATGCCCGTCACCTGAGTACTGTGACCCATAGCAATCCACAATGTGCGGCTAGCATTACCATTAGATATCGGCATCACCTCGTCCCAATGTCGCAAGTGTACTCTCATCTCCAGATCTTGAACGGACACACCCAATGCCGAGGGCGAGTTCGCTAGTCTTCTCTATTCTGGGGATAAGGTGTTCGTTTAACGGATCATTCACAACCTCTCAGGCTCTCTGGTTAAGGGGTGGTTAAGTGGCATAAGTGAAAGGATTGCAAGATGACGTGTATAAGCCATATTGGGCTGATGAACTGTGGTGGAGTGCTGCTGTAAGGAAGGATGAAGAGGAGAGATAGCAGAAAGGAGTTGAGAGAAAGGAGCATGATAAGCATCCTGAGTCTCCAGAAGTACAGAGACAGCAGGACAGGTCTGAGAGAAAGGAAAAGGATGGGAACATGATGACCATCCTCAACCTCTATCAAGCATAAAAGGCAAACCCATGTCTTTTTATCGATTGTAAACTGCAAACCGGGCTCTGATATGATAGCTGTTAGTAAAGTACGTTTTGGCTGGTAAAGCTGTAGTTGAGTTGTTCTCAGTATTCAATGCCTAGTAGAGGAGAGATCGATATGTAGGCATGAAGGAAGGAGCAACCACAGGCATGTAAGAAGGAAGGAATGATCAGCTAGCTACTGGACTATGGATCTATCGAAATCATAATCACGCCAATAATACCCACATTTTTACCGGTTGTCTGCTTCTTCGTTCCCGCCGTTATTCCTGCAACCTAGACAGCAAACTTCAGTCAAAGCTAACAAGCTCAGCAAGCACACACACACAACACGTAAACACATCACATATGCAGAAAAAAAAAATCCACTGTTCAGCCCACATCCTACTCTTCTCTCTATTATTTCTTTACTCCTCCTGGCATTACACAGGGAGGTGAAGCTCGCTCCATGGAGGATACAATTCGAGGAGACGGGCTCGTTGCCCTTTGTGACGCCCTTGGCCCGCTTGCTAAAGATCCCCAACAACTTGATCATGAGAGAGGGTGGTTGAAAAAGCCTCCACCATCATACAAATCTCGTCTGTCTGGCACCACAACTCTCTCCCACAGTCCGAACCAACCTACCGAAGAGGAGATACTTCATGAGAAACGATATTTCCGATATGTTGAAGAGCGAAGGGCATCAATTCCTCTCCAGCAGTTTAAGGTTCAAAGGAACGAGGAGATGCATCGGGTTTGGAAGTTAGACGATGGGGGAGGAGTTATGCCACCTGTCGGAGGTCCACTCCAAATGAACGCTGCTCTAGGTGTCAAGAAACTTTGGGTCGAACAAGGTATATGGGTGGACAAATGGGACAAGATGCTTGCTGGAAATTATCGAGGTATTGGAGGGTGGAAGCACGAGGAGCCGCTCGAGCTTGAGTCCGAGTCGGAAACGGACTCAGAGGTAGAAGCCAAAAGCCCTCCCGCCTTGTTCTCCCTTCCCAAGCCGAAACCGAAACGACCAAAGAGTGACGAAGAGCTGCAACGCATTGCGGAGCGAAGGCAGTCCGAGAGGGAGAACGAGAGGCTTCGCGACCATTCCATCAATTTGTTTTTCAGGTTTCGAAAGCGCGCGAGCGAATCCAACAACAGCGCGAAGTTGATGGAGTCGTTCCAGGTCCTGCGACCATAAACACCCGAGCCTACGAGGAGGTGAAGAACACCTGGACCAGGCGAGGCATCTGGGATGACAGATGGTGTATACTTCCTGGGATGTCGTGGAAATATGAAGAACCTTTGATCGAGTATCAACCAACTCCGGCTCTTGTCCAAACGAACCTGCGCGAGACCGATCGCAACGGAGAGGCATCACCCCCGAGAATGCGGCTATTTGGGAGCCATTCCCCTACTGAATCGAGCGGCATCCTCCCAAATACGCCCCGGCAGGAACTACCTGCGGCTCCAGAGCCAACGCCACTAGACATTGATGATATCAAACCTGCCCAAACGAACCTACACGAGACCGACCGAAATGGGGAGGCGTCACCCCGGATACGGCTATTTAGAAGCCCTTCCCCTCCTCAACCGAACTGCGTCGTCCTAAATCCGTCCGAGCAGGAACTACCTGCAGCTCTCGAACCAATGAGACTCGGCAATGGTGATATAATTCACTTCGCCTCACTACCAGGACCTCGAAGCCGCGAAGGGATCAGTCCGGACGCCGCCTCTGCGGCTAATCAGCGGCAACAACGACGAAGCGCGAGCATTTATTCCGCCGAAAATGAACAAGGACTAATGATACGCACGTCTCTTGAACCGGACCGCCCATCGAGGGTGTCCAAGCCACGGAGAAAGAGAGGGCCTGTCCCTCGGTGGTCGAATGCTATCGAGGAGGTTCAGCCCGACGTTGCCGAGCTCCTATTGTTTAGACTGAACGTTCCTCAACCTCCACATGGGAGCAGATGCTTGCAGGGGGGCAAAAACCCATTGAGGTATGATTCGCTGTCCAAAACGCGGAGGCACATCCAAGGCTCTGATATCACACACGCACCAATCAACCAACAAAAAGAAAAGAAATAAAGAAAAAATACAAAAAGGGTCAGTGTCTGGGTATCACACACAAGGTGGATAGAGCAAGATAGGAGGTCTTTTTTTATGGCAGCTAGCTCCTCAAATTGCCTGGGAAAAGTAGTCTCGTCTCTCTATCAGGGCAGGAGGTGTACAGTTCGCAGAAAGGTTTCCCAGGATTAGGAACAGAGAAACAGAATAAATAACAAAGTCCTAATTCCAAGAAGATACCATGAGGATCTGCAATGTGAAAATTCCCTTGGAATAATGAATTCTCTTGATATGCTTGGTGATGTTCGATGACGTTCTATGTCTGTTTGTGGAAATTAGCGCTGAAGGATGTAGTTGGTTCGTTCGAATCCAGCCTTGGCTGTTCGCTATTTTTTTTCTCTCTTTTTCTGTCCTTAACAATTATTAGCTAACCACGTTTTTAAGAGCACCGGTCAAGTTTCGCGTGACCGAGCTTTGGCGAAGCCTGCGAAAGGGTCCAAGCGCCCCTCCTGTCAAGTTTGCCCCTTTTTCTCCTTTTTGTGATGTGGTGTGCACGAAGTCCTTTGTACATGATGGCTCTCACATCCGACTTTTGCCTCAGTCTTGGATGTCCGCAGACAGTATCGCGCTAAATATTCCCACCTTCAGGTGGAGGGCAGCAGGATCAGTTTTATGCAGGTACTACACTAGATTTGGTGCTAGTATTGCTGGCCTGAACTTGGCATGTGCGTGGAAACATTCGGGGCACAAGGAGGCATTTATGCTACTATGAAGTAGTAGTGATTCACGGCGTGTCGCGTTTTCTTTTCCTCGGCGACGATGCGACTGAGAAGTAGAGAGCTCCAGTGTCTTGTTGGGACGATGATCAATCTTTCTGGGAGAGCAAACATTTCCATTCTTTTGGGTCAAGTTGAGGATCAGCTGAGCCAGCCTGCGGATGGAACCTGGCTGGCCTCACCGTTTTGATCCAGGGTTGCATGCATGCACTCTACCCCGAAAGGTTTGGCTTTGGCTGGGATAAACGACCTCAGAAGAAAACTGCTCCCCTTCACCATCCGTCCCAGATATTCCGGTCTTGGGTCTGGTTATCCCATCGTGGTACCGAGGTACTCGCTTCTACCGCATTATTCCCTCTTGTTCCCTATTATTCCTCCTTTGGAATTCGTATCCCCCGTGTAACAATATCAATGCAGGTTGTGATAGGACAGGAGAAGTGAGGAAAGGAGACCAACGGCGACTTTTCCTCATCCGCATTGTATATGTAGGAACAAATGATGCTGCAGGTAAATGTTTCATCTCTCACTTCTCTCCTCTCTTTGGGCGACACTCGGACGCGTGCTGGGAGCTGTGACCCCCAATCCCTCGACCGAGATGTGAACAGATAACTTTCGAGCGCCATTGTTCTGGCTTTTGTTAATAGACTCATACTTGTCCTTGTAGGCTATAGCATCAACGGCAAGGAGATTTAAGCAATTGGTGTGATGACCTGACCCCGGTCGTCCCGGGCAAGGGTTAGTCCATGAGAGATGATGGTGGTAATTGTGGAAGTGGGTGGCGGCTGATGGCTTCGAATCATTGATTCTACTTTACTACATACTTCAAGCACTAATTTCGACTTCCAAGCCTGCTCCAGGCTAGTTGGTGTCTCTCGTGTCAAATTAGCGCGTAGGACACTTATCGATCGCGAGATTTCGTCCAGACCACGAAGTCGTGTAGTGTGCAGAGTAATAAGGTGTGACCTTTCTACTACGCATACGCACAACATTAATCCAGCTCTGACGAGAGAGGGAGAGAATCGATCGAAGTCCTCGTGCTGCACGTTGTTGTTGGTGCATCTGCGAGCATGGCGCTGATCGCGTCGACTGCATAGCGCGGACCAAAATCGTCAAATTGAACCCATGTCGACTCCTTTCATTGATCCCATCGAGCAAGACGCCAATTAAACAGGCCCGATGTCATTGGTGTCATTTGTGTCATTGTTTTCCTATTGTTTTCCTAGCGCTGCAAACAGCCAAATAATCCCAATAATTCTAGCACCTGTTCGAGGTTGCGAATGCAGACCTAGAAGTGAACGTTTCCTTCGACGTTGTAGTTTCGTAGTGTGGTGCACAAAGAAAAGTCGCCTCAGTCTCACCGGCTGCTGTTGCGCTGTTCGAGATAATCCAATTTCCTTTTTCCCCACACTTGGCCTCGCTCTCTCCTCCACCCCCTGCTGCCCTGGGGCCCTGAATCCCAAGAGGTTGCAAAGGGTCAATTCGAACGTTGCTTTTCCCCTTCGTTTCCTTCTGTGGTATTTTCGTCTTCTCCTTTGGTACAATGTCTCCCTCGACTCAACGACGTCGACCTCCAAACCTCAACCTCAGCAGCAGCAACATCAACAACAACAAGTCCAAAACAGCGACGACAACCTCGAAACCACCACCGCTCCCCGTCCTCAAGCCGCGCGACCCCATCCCGCAAACGCCACCGAATCGAAGAACGGCGACTAGCGAGACCAGGGCCAGCCCGTCGGCGGTGAGCCGACCCGTAAAGGCACAAACACAAGCACCAACGCAAGCACCAGTTCCAACACAAGCACAAGCAGCACAACCCTCGTCATCCCACGCACAGCAGCATGCAGACTACCGCGACCACGCTCTAGTGCCCTCCACTACCCCCGTCCACCGCACCTCGTCCTCCTCCTTCTCCTCCTCCGCCCCCGTCCCTGCCGATCTCGATGTCGAATTCGTCGACATGTCTAATAAGGAGAACGAGTTCGTGCTGAGAGATTCTCACGACCTCTCCATGCCGCCCTCTCAGTCCACCCGTGACTCGCTGATGGCGAGCATGCTCTTGTCCCTCGATCAGCTCACCTTACTCGGACAAGCCAATTCGACCCACATGAACATTTACGACGAGTCGTCCAGGGGATATTCGTCATCGTACGGTGCCGGTGTCTCCTCCCTCTCGGACGACCGGACCTGGACGAGAACATCGAGGACTTCGAGGCCGAATACCAGTTCACGATTCGGCCCCGGCCCTTCCCATGGTCATTCCTACAGTTCCGATCTGGAAGCTGGCGACGATGCTGCCAAAATTAATCGATCTCGCCGTAGCAACAGTAATTCGACTTACCAAACATCTGGTCCGACCCGAATGAATAGCTTGAGGGAATCGCTCAAGAGCAGTCAGCCCAGCACTCCCCGTCGGTTACACACTCGAGGCGGAGGCAAGAACAGCAAAAGCAGCAGCACGAATAGTATCGATGCCGGCTACGTCCAAGTTCTCGGCAGCCAACGCTGGGCGTCAGGGTTCGGTGGGAGATCATCGAGCTTCGACTACGGCCACCAGCGTGTGGAGAATACTCAATCCACGTGGCACTCCGACTTCACGCATACATTCCTGAATGATGACTACGACGCCGCACCGACCCCAACCGTCCCTGGGGGACCTCGACGAACTGCACCCCCTACTCCCGTCACCGCCACCTTCATGACCTCGGAGCCCATGCCCATCCCTATGTCGACCAGGCCCATGGCCGAGCCGAAGACGCCGACGCTCGAGAGGAAACGCAGCACGAGGTCTGCACGAAGCATGACGGGTCCCGCGAGAAAGGGCGAGTCCAAGTTCGGTGCCAGTCGAGAGGCCATCCCTCCAATCCCAACTTTCGCCGACCTTGACCTCGACTCCGCGCCGGCACCTCACGTCGGGTACGAAAAGACAAAGGAGGCCCTCCCTGCGGGAACCTCCGCCGCTCCTCCCTACGTTACGACTCCTCAACCCAAGGAGAAACAGGGTTTCTTTAGGAGAGTGTTTGGTGGTTCGTCTAGGAATACCACTCCCACTGCCACAGCTATTGCTACCGCCAGTGCCGCCCACGATTTGTCACATTCCCCGAGTCAATTTTCGTCGTCGACAAACGGGGGAAATGCCGATCGAAGCGGCCAACCGCAAATTGCGTCGCAGACGCGGACCAATTCGACCCCATCTCGAGAGAATAACAATAATACCAACGCTTCATCATCTTCATCCCATTCCCCTCACGTTTTGCAGAAAAAACCCTCGTCCTTCTTTCGCCGGCGGAAGAAATCGGTGCACGATCAAGAGGCGCCGCCCCTTCCCAGGTCTCAGGACGCCCCACCACTCCCCACCAACAAACCGCTGGTGCCGCCCATTAGCCTCCAGCCTAACCTAGATAAACTTTCGCCCGGCCCTGAGCCTAGCCCCGTCAGTTCACTGAGAAAGGTGATGAGCCCCTATCTCAGGGGTAGTCCAACAGTGGCCGTCGCACCCCTCCAGTCACTGGAGCAGCAGCAGCAGAAGTCGTCCTCGCCGCTAGCGGAACCGACAAAGTCTCACTTCGTCGAAGACATTGAGGGGTACAAACGCGACTTTTCTCCCGACTACGAACCTAGCCCCAGGGCCGTGATTCGCGCCGTCGACCCTGCCTCCGCATCTCCTGACGTTGGCTCCGCGTCGTCGCCCCGTCCTGACATCACGCCTGATCATCCACCTCCCGAGGTCCCCCTGTCGTCCGAGACGAGGAACAATTCTTTCTTAAACCTCGACCCCCCTAGCGACAACGAGTTCGATTTCCCGACGGCGCCATCGAATAGAGTCAAACCTCTTGGGAAACCGACCCGATCGAGCACCGCCCCCGAAGTGGCAACGGACAGGGAAGACGAGACCGACGGAGGTAACGGCAGAGGGGTGGTACGAGGAGAGGACAACGACGGAATGCTGGCGACGGAAAGCGGCCATCTCGGGGCCCCTCATCACCGAGAGAGCCGCGCAGATGATACCTTTAAACCTATCCGGCGGCGTATTCGCGCCGCTCTCGACGTCACCGATTCTGAAGAGGAGCTCAACTCGGCGACGTTGGCCCTACCCATCGAAGGTGCCCGGTCTGCCAGCGCACACTCGGACTCGGCGGCGTCCGGCTTCAAGTCATCACCCAGTAACACCCCTAGCGTCCGCGTCGAATTGACCCCCGACGATTCTAGGCCTCGAAACGGTCAGACGACGAACCCCCTCGATGGCAAGCCCATCGACGAACCCGACTTTGTTGTCGGCGACCCGACAGACGACGACAAGCAAAAGGCGCAAAAGATCTTTGACGGCAACGAAGATTTTATTCAGAAGGATAAGGCGGCGGCCTGGATGGGCGCTGAGGGCCTTGTTAGGCAGCGCACGCTGCGGGCGTACATGGACCTGTACAATTTCAGTGACCTTAGCATCGTTGCTTCGCTCCGTCAGGTTTGTGGGCGCCTCGTCCTGCGGGCCGAGACGCAGCAGATTGATAGGATTTTATTGGCATTTTCGACTCGATGGGTTGAATCTAACCCCAATCATGGCTTCAAATCCATCGGTATGTTTAACTTCTTGTTTTCTTTCATTGTCGTGGTGTATCTGTATGTGCTGACCCTTGTATAGATGTCATCCACACGATTTGCTACTCCATCATGCTGCTCAACACGGATCTCCACATGGCCGATATCGATTCTAAGATGACGAGGAGTCAATTCGTTAAGAACACGTTGACAACCATTCGCCACGCCCTGGATGATTCTCCTGCAGACGTATACGATCGCCCCAGTATCCTTCCCGGTAAGGCCGGGATGCTCGCCGCCGAAGATGTCCGCCCGTCCACGGATCAACCGCCGTCCCACAACCGTCTCTCATTCCTACCAGCCGGTCGCGCTGACACGAACGCATCTGATGCCTCTCCCGATGACTGCGGGCCCCTTGTTAAGGCTCCTTTCGACGGCCCGATGAGGGCTTGGGAGGGCCAAGTCGAGTCTGTGCTCAAGGACATCTACGTCTCGATCCGCGACGAACGGCTTCCGCTCTTCGGCGCCGAGCCCGACAGGTATCACCCCGGCCCGGCGTCTCAGAGCAGCCTCTCCGTCATGGGGATGCTCAAGCGGTCGCCCAGCGTTCTCAGCAAGGCTCCCTCGGAGAGTCAGTCCTCCCTCCGCGGCAGGATCGCCGAGAGCTCCCGGACGACGAATTCCAGGTGGGGCTCAAAGAGTCGATCGCGGCACCGACTCGGCGGGAACGGCTTCTCATCTAGCCGCACGAGCTTTGACGATGGTAACTCCATCTGGAGCCCCGCCACGTCGTCTGCCACATGGAGCCGCCAATCACTCGGCCGTACCCAGACGTCCATGTCGATGGATTCCTTCGGGTCAGCCTGGCCTCGCAACGATTACCAGCAGTCGATTGGTTTCGCCAACGCCTTGAGTCAGGCCATAATAAGGGAGGATATTCCAGGCGGCGGCGCGCCTTCGATCATGAGCAACGACGAAAAGAGCGGTGCACCCTTGCTCGAGGACGAGTCACTCGAGCTCGCCGGTCCCCCCTGGGTCAAGGAAGGCATCGTCACCCACAAACACCACCTCGACGGAATCGACAGGAAGGCGAAGGACAGGAACTGGACCGAGGTGTTCGCCGTCGTGCAGAAGGGCACCCTCAGCCTCTTCTCGTTCTCGCCGAACAAGTCGCTGCGCAACAAGGCCCGCTCGGCCCGCCACCACAACAAGGCGGCCGGCGGCGGTGGCGGCGTGCCGATCCAGGTCGGCGGGGGCAACTGGCAGGAGAACGCCACAAGCCTGGGCACCTTCAGCTTAAGGCAGACGCTGGCGTCGGCGCTCCCGCCGCCAGGGTACTCTAGGAGTAGACCCCACGTGTGGGCCCTGAGCTTGCCGACGGGGGCGGTGCACCTGTTCCAGGTTGGCACGCCGGAGATTATTAAGGAATTCGTTACGACGGCGAATTATTGGAGTGCGAGGCTGAGCACGCATCCGCTTGTTGGTGGTATCAGCAATATTGAGTATGGGTGGAGCGAGGCCATCGTGAACAACTCGCTCGTCAGTGCCATTAACGACACGACGACAGCAGCGACGGCAAACTCGGTGCCACCAGCGGTGGTGGTAGGAACGGGCCGCACCTCGCGACCCGGCAGCAGCGCCACGGGCGGCACCAGCCACGCCCACCACGCGCGAAAATCCAGCGTCCAAAGCGGCCGCAGCTTCCGATCCGGCAGCTTTGACCTGGGCGTCGGCAGCGGCCCGGGAAGCGGGCCCCGGCACAAGCTCCCCGGCGACAGGATCCACATCGCCGAGTGGATGCCCCCGACGCAGAGCATGCGGCCCAGCATGCAGGGCGAAGAGGAGCAGCTGCGCACGCTGGAGGCGTACGTGCGGTCGATCGAGGAGGAGCTGCAGCAGCACAACCAGCTGCGCAGCCCCATGCTGCTGGCTTTCTCACCTAGGGGTCACAACGCGACCAAGGCAATGGCGAACTGGGAGCGCAAGAGCGCATATTTGTTGAGGGAGATTGTGAAGTACAGGACTTATGTGGATTGTTTGCAGCAGGCGGAGGGGAGGAAGAAGGAGATTTATGGGGAGAGAGAGGCGGTTGATGTCGGAGGGGAGTGAGATGGGAGATGAGGATTTTTTTGGGGTGTGGGATTTCAATATGGGGAAAGCAGAAAGAGAAGAGCAAGAACGGGAAAAGCTTATGGGTTTTACACGCGAAAACAATCCGGGTTCTCGCCTGAAGGAAGCAAACAGGTTGAGATGGAAGTTAATTTTTGATTTTGAGGGAACCCAACTACGATTAACCTTACGGGAGAGTTGGTCGGGGGAGAAGAAGAAGATTGTCGGAATACGTCCATGTACAGATACCCCCCGAGCGAGAGCATAACGTCTTCCCTTATGTCTTTGGCCCTTTTCACAGCTGTCTTTTTATTATTTTTTTTCTTCCTTTTTTCTTGATGGTTATTCGATTCTCCACTTCCAGCTGCGGCCGAGCCTGTTCTAAAACCTCTTTTTATTTTGTTATGGTTTTCTTCGAGCTTGTTTGGTTTTGAGGGGGTTGGAGTTGGGGTTCTTTCGTGAGTGATGATTGGGGCTTCTTTTGTGTATACGACTAGATGTAATATGATGAGATACTGAAATCCAGTTTGCTTGTGAGATGTTTGTGTTTGTTGATGTTGATGTTGATGTTGAGGCTTTCTTGATTCCATCATGCTCATAAGAGGAAGGTTCCGGAAGTCTTAACCTCTTGCTTCACAGGGAAGTCGTGGGTATAAGAAGACTCGGGGAAGGACTTTGGGGCATGGGATGAACACAGGTCGGACGAGCGTTTACCTCCTCAGCCACATATACCACCACATCTTGGGAAAAGACGCAGTCTCTTCTTCGAGCAAGGTATTCAGCACCGACTATCTTTTCCTTCTTATGCTCCGGTCTGACTCCATTCTTTCACAGATTCCAAGCTCCCGCCAGATCCATTCTGTAGTGGATGTCCGAAATTGGAGCTAAATCTGTTGTTTTCTTTATTCCAGCAGTATATACGTATAAGAAGACTAGCCTATACCCAAAATCTCGAAGGCAAAATGGGTGTCGCAAACTGATTTTCGATCTCTCGTTACTAGGTTGTTTTTCGCAGCGCCTAGAATCCTCAACTGTTTCCATGGTCGTTGCTCTGACTACAGTAGTACAGTGGACGTCGTGCCATAATCAGCATTGAAGCCAATTCCAGCAACACGGTCTTAGGCATCACAAGACCGAACATCAATGCATCAATAACCAGGGACCAGACCCCATTCACTACGTCAGCCTGCCAACCTACCAGCTCCATCACCCAGACCCCGCCCAAATGCAGCCGATAACACCAATGCGCATCATTATCCGAGCTTGTGCTGCCGATATTTCAGATACTCCGGAAGAGCGGCCATTCAAGCTTGGCGACGCATTCTGCAGACAGAAGCTGGGAAGGCCAATAAAGCCCAAGGTCCAGCTGCCAGTCTATGATAACATATTTTATTTGCCTAATTTTGACTCACCAAAGGGCAATTCGTGGTTCGTCTACGACCTGTGTGTTACAGGCAGGGCCGACCTTTCGTCTATCCCTCACGAAGTGTATCTGGCTACACGCCGCGAAGGCGATAATGGATCTTGGTATGCTCCTCAGTCCCTTGTCTTCACATTCCGCCGTACGTATCCCCCTAATTATACCACCTTAGGATATTTACAAAGCGCGAGTCGTGGATCGAGACGGCAAGAAACTATGCGAACATGTTCGTGTGGGGAGGTGCGGCAGAACAGGATCGGATAGCGAAACTAAAGCAAAAAAGTGAGCTCTCCACGGAGCATCACGGTGTCTCAGGAGGCACGTGGGTTTTCACGCGTCCTGTCGATACAGGGGTTTACAAAGTGTTGAACTCACGCAGATTCCTTCTTGGGGTCAACAGATGACTGTTTCTAATGCTATTATGAAGGATATCGAGGGTCCATAGAATCCTCTACGAATATTCCTTTCAAAGGCCTATCCCCATGATTTGTCAAATTCCTGCCTGATGTATTTCATGGTCCGCCGGGGCTACAGTTTAAAATGTCGCACCCTGCGGAAGTGTTTCCTCGGCTCGGGGGCATGTACGAGGCTGCCTTGCTCTTACGAACGCCTAAATTAAACTGACAGGTTTATAGAACGGAAATAACGTCAATTCGTTCGGCAGGTCTGCGTTCACCACCCTCGATTAGTACCATTCTAGCATATCTCATCTCTCAACGGCCTGCAGAAACCAACGGTCCCAGTATGTCCTCTCCTCTTATCAGTGGATGCCCGAGGAGAAGCAAAAAAGGCTTCTAACGCCTTGATAGAATACACCAGTCTCTTAACGCAGCCAACTCCACAGATGCGCGTCTAGCAGTAATCCAGCATGGAAGACAACGCCGACTTCTCCGCCGAGGTAACACTCAGGGCCCAGTAGCTCTTGACTCGGATCCAGCTCTTGGCATAGGTGCAGTAGAAGCTGGTGAGAGGGGGCTTCCAGGAATCGGGGCTCTTGTCGCTCTTGCTCTGGTTGACGTCGTCGGTGACGGCCCAGAGCTGGGGTCGGTCGATGTCGTTGGCGAATTGCTCGCGCTTGGCGGTGGTCCAAGAGGAGGCGCCGGACTGGAAGGTGTCAGTGGGCATGAAAATGTAAAGCAGCGTTGTTGATAAACGGCTTCAAGCACGTGAGTGGAATGAAAAAGGGAAGATCGTAAAAACTTACGATCCAGGCGTTCTTGAGAGGGACCATGTGGTCAATGTCTACGTCAGAGGCCGCCGTCCAGGTCGCACCGTCATAGGGACTCTTCCAAGTTCCAGAGGTGGCCGCGCAAGCAGAGTCGGTCACGACGCCTGTGCCATCCCGCTTGAGGACGTACTCCCTACAAAGAATTGATTTACTTAGTAAAATCGACGCCAAATCTGAGGGGAGTGTGAGGAAGGAATGCCTTACCTGGTGTTACAGCTGCCCGAGACGGTATGCCAATGAGGGAAGAGATCACGGCTGTAACCAGTACCGCTGCCAGAGGCAGCCACCTTGAGCGCGGCGAGCTCGGTGCGGGCGGTCGACTCGGTCGGGATGCCAGGCTTGAAAGCATTAGTTTTTACTATGAATCTTGGGGGGAAAGATTCTGGAGGATCTTCGGTCCTTTGCAACGTACAGGAGTGGGAGCAGGGGCGGCAAGGGCGAGAGCGCCCCAGGCGATGACGGCGGTGATGGCGGAAGTCTTCATTGTAGACAAAGATTTGAGTGGTATCTTCTGGCCTGGATAAGAGAGCTCTTCGTGACGGGCATTACGACGGAAGAGGGGAGATATCTTGACATTTTATATCCAAGGACCTTTTGTGTGTCTCGAGTAGCATGTCATCGCGATGAGATACCATCGCACATTGGCTCAGCGCAGTAAAGGGTAGTTTCAACCCACCCACCGCATCACAACACGACGACATGCTTGACTGATGTCAATTGCCTCGTCCTTCCAAAGAAACCCAGTCTTGGATGGCACAACGTCGCATTTTCCCCAGTTGACCTCCCCCTCCAATGTCATTCGGTGTCCCATCTAGTTTGGTGTTGATTACCCCTGTTGGGAGCAGTCCCGGCCACTTTGAGGCTCCGATTGGCCGAAGCGCATCACCACCTCCCTTCCAACCAATCTTCCACCTTCGAGAACCAGGGATCTGCATGTCATCGGAAAGAAATGTCATCAAAAAGAGAGCAAATCAAGAACTAGGGAGGGGTCTGCGTCTGTGCTGTCTTGTTCTGTTAATGATATGCAGCCAACCCTGCAGAAGAGTCTGCCCATCTCCCGAGTCTTGTTCGAATGAAGATAATCATCAAGACGTTGCCTCGAATATCCCCTCACCCACCCGCCCCGATAACCAGTGATAAAGGGAGATGTTTGCACGTTATCTTTACCGTTGCATTAGCTAGCGGGAGGGTCCTTTGGTCCTTGCCCCTGGCGTGTAGGTGGGGGGGGGGGGGAAATCCAGCAACCAACTTCCCACTTTTGCTGATTATCTTGGAATGGAAGAGGCGGGAGAATCTTGATGGAAGGGTTTTAACTTCCTCTTTGGGGCCGATTCTTCAAGGTCGAAGGCTGCAGGTGCGCATTTAAAACACGCACCAACGTCCGACAAGGAGAATGAGGTCTACTGAGTACTACTCATCGTTGACCCCTCCTCGAGCGAGTTCCTTTCTCCCAGCCTTTCTCCCAGGCTCTCCCTCCGCATTTGGTAGATATCCCCGCGGACCTTACCCAACGGTCTCCCATTGCGGTCTCGTGCATCAAGGGTGCCTCTTCTCATATCTAATCGCATATCAACTCCCCACGTGGGTTTGATATTGCGAGATAACAATGAACAAAAGGTCGAGACAGATGCCGTCCACGTACTTCGTAATCCTGGATCAGACTCAGCTGACATGACCATCAATGCCTTTGCCGTCTCTGCCCAAGCCTCACTCATCTGCTTTCGAACTTTCTTCTCTCAGTTGACAGCGAGGTAAACACTTCAACCCGGTGTCATGTCAGCTATGCCCCTCCGACACTTGGGCTCACAGAGCACCCTGTTCTTCCAATACTGGCCAGATACATCATGAATTCATGATCTTCTGCGGGGAAGAAAAGCCACAGCCGTCGTTGAGATCCCATTCTCAGGCGGAGCCAAGAACGAGCCATGAAGTCGGACAATTAGCCCAGCTTGAATATGACGCGCTTTTTCCGAATACACTCACCGAGATGAGGTTGCGTGCCGGCTGGGGAAAATACACCGCTCCTCTATCCGAGACATCGAAGTAAAATGAGGAAGTGCGAGCATCAAGGCTGGGACGAACAAATCCCCTTCTTCGCAAAGACCTCGTGGGCTTTGAGTTCAAGAATGTATGATCCAAGCTTTGGACAGTCTACGTCGATGGGAGTGGCAGGCACCTAGGCAAGGCATCGAGGGTCATCTTCCTCTCGGGATTCTCGAAAGCCCAATCCCGGACTCCGCGGACTAGGAAAATGCCGCATTCCGGAGGCTTCGGGGCCGGAACGGGGGTGGGAAACCGAATCAAACATTCATTTGTTCGGGCGGCCCGATCCGTACCAAAGCGCCGCATTCCCTGGCTCGTAAAAAGTGATTTCACCAGCATCGTTACTAAGTGGTAGGTATTGCTGGACATCTGGCTCTTAACATAGGAACAGTCTGAAAATACACTCCAGAACTAAATTCCAAGAGACTGACGTTGTAGAAAGCCTCCCAGAGTACTTTAAAGCCGTCTCCCACCCAGCCATCCTAGAAGCCCTTGGCCTCATTCCAAAACCTAAATCACCATCCACAACTCCATCCTGAGCCCCATGTGGGCCATGTCGCCCCGCCAGGACCAAGCCTAAGCTTAGGCGGCACCCAGGATTATGTATCGACGATTTCGAGATATACAAAGTTGAGAACACGGCTACATTGTGTGCAGGAAAGAGGATAAAAGCACCGTGAACGCCCATTTCCAGCCTCAGGATCAGGATCCAACCAACAATGAAATCTTCAATTCAGCTATTAATATTTGAATGGACTAGTCACCCCGAATTCGTGCAACCGACATTGACTACCCTGAATCACCATCGCCTGTTGCCCATTCCTCACCTGTGACACCCCCAACCTGCCCTCCCATTCTCGCGCTACGTTCATTTCCACATACACTCAACATCATGTTTCCTATATCAGTCCATGCCCTCAGGGAATATCACGGGCTCCCTGCCCCCCAAGATATTCGAGTTCCTACAGCCAGCAAGCTTGCCGCGCTCTGCACCGGGATACATCCGCGACACTACAACCTGGGTCTTGCATATCCATCAGAAGCACCTGTATTCTGGATCAAGTACGGCCCTTCAATCACCTGGAATGAGGTGCCCGCCCAGGTCATGGCATACGAAGAGCTACGACGGCTTTCATCGCCAGTTAAGGCACCCGGGATATTTTATGCTTGCGATTTAGAACTACGAGGAGCCCAGCGCGAACGTCGTAAATCGTATATCGTCATGCAATATATCCCAGGTAAAACGGCGGATGAATGGCTGAAGAATATTGAGGATCTTGCTAGAGCGGATTCTATATATTCCCATATTGCCTTTGCTCTTTCCGAACTCCACCGCATCCCTGTCCCGCCTGGGTCTCGCCCAGCTGCGATCAATGGAGGAAAGATTCGACATTCCCTTTTCGATGACCAGGATGCTCCACGCCACTACCAGGATGTTGAACAATTAGAGGACCACCTCAACCAGGTAAGAGAGACTGGATGTTATTTGATCGCTGCTTTGCCCTATTTCGAACCTAATCTCTTTCATCCTTTATTTTAGTTTCTCACAATCACAAAGAAAAAGGATCGAGTCGAGGGGCCGTCGCGCGAACCCCTAGTCTACGGTTATTCAGACGTGTGGCTCGAAAACTTCATAATCAGTGAAAGCGGCGACATTGCCGTCATTGATTTCTCCGATACGAGCATCCTCCCGTCTAGTTTCTCCAGGTTCGTCCTCTCAGGTGCGCAGTCCAAGATTAAACGCGACATCAGCGGCCTAGTGCAGGTCCCCACGACCGACGGCGTCGATAACACTCTCGCGCTGCGTGCTGCCGCCGGGCCTATGGTGATGGGCCCGAGTTCATTTGCGTCCTTGGGTCGAAAAATGCTTGGAGGGGACGTCGAGACACAGGAGAGCTTTGACCAGTAGTCCCTAACGAAAATATCGAAGTTAATCCAGGCTGGTCTTATTTGCACCAGCGAGGCCCTAGCATAAACGGCTTTATGCATCCTGTTGCTTGTAGTGCCTACAACGTCTGCGTGCTTGTGGAGGTGGATGTTTTAGTTAGGGCTTAGGCGGATAGCAGGATTAAGTTCTAGATATTTGCACGAAACCGCGGCAGCCAGATGTCGAAGTTGACAAAGCAGGAGCTGTGGGGGTTCTGATGCAAGAAGGCCTGGATGATACAGCCTGGCTGGGCAGAAGATCGGGGAACATCTTAGTACTGCTAATGGTGGCTAGCCAGTCGATTATACGACGCATCGTCACGAATCCAAACCGCTTTGCGGTCCATCCATAGCCCCCGGGATGGACAGTTCGAAAAGATCTGACACCACTGGTCCCCAGAGGCAGGAGGGAGCTGACCGCCCCGCCCTGGTGCAGACGGCTCTCGCAGCAAAAGGCGAAGAGTTCGCTCCACCGGTAGTTCAGGGAGAGAGGTGTGGCAGAACTAAACCAGGCTGAGTGAGGTCTGGGAACAGGCTGCCCGCGGCAACTGTAAGAGAGGGGCGAAGTCATGTAGGGCCTGGGGGCTTCGGCGTCCCTCGAACTGCGAGGGAGAGAGTGAGTTAAAAATTGGGCCATACGCCTCCGAAACCCATGTTATCCTTGAATACTTCTGATCTTCTCAAGACGGAAGAAAACTGCTCTCTCCGAACCGGAGTTTCTAGTTGTACCCTCCCAACCGACCCTCGAGCCCATCTGTACCAGTCCATGGGTCGAAGTTTAGTTTAACGTGACCAGTACATCACAGAATGTCTAGATCAAAGGGGCATGGAGATGTGGTTGCCGGAAAGCTTGTAGCGAACAGCACAGAGAACCGGCCACTTTCAGACTGAGGTCTACTTAGGAACGATTATCTCACTAGTTCACTAGCACGGGCCCCTCTTCCTGGATCGCGGACTTAAATAATGGTTCCCGGAGAACGGTAGCGTGGTTTGGCTTCGACGTTGCCGATTTGGAATGCGAGGATTAGGATGCTGTCTACCAAAGATCCGGCTTCTCGGTTCCGGGAAGACTCGCCCAGCAGACGTAAGCGTGGAGGGACTTGGGAAACCAATTTGTACACATCCCAATTGTCTCCAATCCCCTACGCACAGAACCCCAGTTTGAGACATCTTGCGCTGGGTCTTTTACGTGAAGGGGAGACAAGGTCCTGTCCCCAGCTAGTCGGCACTGTTCCATGCGAATTTTGCTTCTAATATCATAGTGCCGCTTTAAGGATCATTTTGTCCTGGGAGAGTAATGAACGACATAGCTATAAGGAGAAGACATGCATTGTCTGTTGGCGTATCACCGAAGGATAGAAGAGGGCCTTATCTCGAAGCAGTATAATTGTATACGCAGACCTCTCTTGATAGGGCTATGGAGAGAATTAGAGGTGGGAGCTTGGAGTACATCAATCGGAGACATGTTCCAATATCGAAGCGCACTCAACCAATTAATGCACCCGGAAACTGAAGCTCTATGAAGTCAGAATTTCTTGTGCATCTCAACGGTCTCAGTAGCGCCTTCTGCTTCGGAGAAAAAAAAACTCTCAGGGCTGGGCTGCGTCGGTCGTAACTTCTCTCATATAGAGACAAGGGATCCACAGGGGCATGTTCTCATGATGACGTCCTCGTTCAGGGACGCGATTTCCATTTCCGATTCTGGGAAGGTTGAGGTGGAGATGATCTGTTTTTAGATTAGAACTTTTTTTAGAGCCCACAAAAAGTCGAAAATTTCCCTAACCCAGAAATACGGATTCTCTGTCTGGGAGCGATCAACCTGGCATGGAAGATCGTGTCCGGGTTTTTGGAGTGAGAGTGGGAATACGATGAGCGATCCAACTCGAAGTCCTCCGCCGTGCCGAATTCCATGGAAACGATTCGGTGGACACCCATGTCCAAATCCGCCTGCTGTCGCTGGATCGTGGGTCCACATCGAGCAGGCCAAGATCTGGTCCGCAGGGTGATACGAGCCACCAGATTGGCAGATGGTGGCTGCGGGATAGGCTGATGTCATCACACGATCGTTCGTCTTGGAAACACGAGAAAACGGCTGGGCCAGGGTCTGGGGCATTTTTCATGAGGAAAGTTGACCTAGACCACTTGGACGCTGGAGCCGAAGAAGGGCATTCTTGGGGTAATTAGCCGAGCCTGGGCAGCGGCCCTAATATGACTCTGCGGACAATGCCTTCAATCACGAGGGGTGAATTGATGGCGATGGCACAAAGGTCTGGCGGCGTGGTTGGACCACGATTCTGCCGTTTCCGCACCCGATCTCTCTGGACACAGCCACGTCTCACAAACAACGTTACACTCTCCGAGAAGACCTCACGAATCGAGAATCCTGATATTTAATGACTCGGGCTTCTAAGGATTTCAATATCGGCTGCCTCACACGCGAAACGGCCAAGTCATGCGGGACCGCTGCGGTTCATACACGTAGAGTAGGGCGGAATTTGGCAATTATTGAGGTCGTTCACAACAACATTGCACTGTCAGTTCATTTGGGAAAGCCTGATGTCCAAGTGGGGGTGTCAGGACGTTGGCGGGAAGCCCAGCAGGGCAATTCGGCGTTGAAGCTCACTGCCGACTGGACGGGCTGCTTGACATTTCCCCACTAACGCACCAGCAGCGCCTCTTGATGCGGTGCATCTCGATTCCGATGCGGACCGGTTTGGTGCCCTGCAAGAGTTTGGCCAGGCCTGACCAACAGCGCCAGCCTTCACTGGTTCTCGCCTAGGACACCACGTTGGGACCATGAGGTGCGGGCACCGCTCAAACTCAATTCGTTCAAGTACAAGAGCTACAGTTTGTCTATCGATTTCATGGCTTTCTCAGCCCCAAGCCCCAAGAATAGGAACAGACCAGGGAACTAGTGCTCAGATTGACCAGCAGCCGCAGGTTGAGAGACATCTACAACTACAAGCAAGTACAGATCGTGAACACCGCTTTCGTCGCGAGCCAGGCAGCCTAACCTTGGCACTTGGAAACATGTGCCGTGTTTTCCTGGATCTCACATCGCCCTGTGCGGAAAGTTTATTTTTCCTAATTTCGCCAGGCTCAGAGCGCATTATCGTCTATGGAGTTAAGACCCGGGGCAGCCTTCCGCCAACATGAACATGAACCGGGGAATGTCTGTGCCACACACTTGCTCCGGCAAAATGTGCCCTTTTCAATATCCACCCAGGCTCACCCTGGCGCAGCCTGGTCGACACAACCAACGCTGCGCTCACCTGAGGGGGAAACGGAATGGAAAGAGAAACGAAAAGGCAGATGCTGCCCCGTATTCTCCCCCGAAGCTCACGATGTGCCACACGGCGAAATCTCTATAGTAGCTTGCGGATAGATGGCGACACTAGACGATTGTCGCAAACGAACATCAATTTTGTTGCTGTCCCTCTGGTCCAGTGGGCGTGACAGCACAGAAAGAATACCGAAGGCCCGCATAAGACTGGATTAATCCTCTTGAGGCCTAACCTAAACTTCTATTCTTGGATCGACTCCAAAGACCGCCACCCCGCGTCAATGCCGATCCTCGTCTTTTCCAATCCTCGAGAGAGGGTGCTTGGCATCAATCCTGGTTCTTATCAGAAATGTCCCCCGCTATTCTCAATTTGGAAAAAAGCCACCCCCTCCATATCTCAGTCCATTGTCCGATCCGCCCCTTCTCATCGTCTCCCAGGAAACAATCATTCAATTGACGGAAACGGAATGCCACCCCCTCCCATACGAAATCCTGCTACTTCGTAATCCGCCCTGCAGCAGAAACAACGCAAAGTCCCTTCTCGACCCTTCACAAGGAGGACAAGGGTATGAATGCGAGGTTTACTTCGTAAGACACTTCTTTGTTTGACCAGAATCAGTCAGGCCAGGAATTGCCAAGGGGGGAAAAATGAGTCAATAGAGTTTAAACGAAGCAATATACCCGTGGAAAATGGAAGCTGTTGGTGCCCTTTTTCACCTCCTTTCCATGAAGAAGTGCTCCGCCACCATTCTGCTAGTACCTCAGGAAACGAGGTAGGCTCCACTGCCACCGTCTCACTAGGCTTTTTACCGTTCAGTCAGGTCAGTCAGTTCGTATGCAACATCCTCGGCAGGGTTGCCCGTGTCAGATCAGAGACCCCGTTGCGAGGAGCAAAAAAATACCCACCCTCTTGTTTTTTTTGTCCGCTTTAGCGCTCTCAAACTGAGACCGGGCTCCTCCGTCGAACCGCATGCCCTCGTCCCATTCGTCGCTTTGGCGTTGGTCGACGCAACCACACAACGTCACGTCAGGTAAGGTACGGTAAATGGTCATGCTGACTTCCTGAGAAGCGGAGCAATAAATGGATTTGATCCACAAAGAGGGCTGCCTGAACACGAATGTCTGTCGAGGGACCTGTTTGTCTCGAAGTATAAGACAGCCTTCCATCCCCTCACCCAAGGGTATCTGGGAGAGCTTTGAAGACTTCCATATTGTATCTACCTACACTCGTTGTGTGTTTGTATTATTATCCACCCATACATTCGGGGTATATATCTTCATATCCCCCAGACTCTCGCTTTTGTATAGACAACAAGCTTTACGAGAAGCTGTTATTCAATAGCCACGCTCCGACACCACGTCCTCGTGGTACACCACACATCTTACACAATCGTTTGCTTCGACGATCGCTTAGAAAGAACGAAATGCGTTCCACAAGCTTGGCCTATGCCTTCGCGGCACTTTCTAGCTCCGCGCTCGTTGCAGCCCAGACATTTTCGGACTGCGACCCTACAAAGGGAGACAGTACGTTCATATCCCCCCGTTTTCCTCCCTCAAGGTACTCTTGAAAAACATTTACGAAGGATTTCCCCACTAACAACTCAAAAACAGAATGCAATCCTGATCCCGCCTTCGGAAACTGCAGGAAGACCACCAGCTTCGACTTCTCCACCGTCGCCGGCGGAGAAGGCTGGAAGACGGACAAGACCTTCCTGGACTTCTGGACGCCCGAGAAGGGAATCGTGGGCGACAACTCGCCGCTGACCATCGACGAGCACGGCGCCGTCCTCACCATTAGCAACAAGGACCAGGCGCCGCTGATCAAGTCGAACAAGTACCTCTTCTTCGGCAAGGTTGACGTCACGGTCAAGGCTGCGCCTGGTGTTGGTATTGTTACTTCGGTTGTGCTTGAATCGGATGACCGTGATGAGATCGATTGGGTACGTTGGACCTTTCTTTCTTTCTTTTTTTTCTTCTTTCCTTCCCTCTTTCGGATTTCTATCAGTCGTTCATCCCCCCGCCAGTTTGGTTCGTCCTTGGCACCTTTTTTTCAGGGGCAAAACCTTAACGCCAATGTGGGGTCCGGTACAAAGAGATCCTCAGGGGGATGGGGCAGGTGTAGATCTCTCATGAAGTTCCCAATTGCTAACCAAGAACCTCACAGGAATGGATCGGCGGCGAGCCAGGCAACGTCCAAACCAACTTCTTCTCCAAAGGCGTAAACAACTACATCCACGGCCAAACCCACGGCGTCGCCTTCAACGCCATCGAGGGCCTGCATACCTACACCATCGACTGGACCCCCGACTACATCAGCTTCCAAGTCGACGGCGCCGAGATCCGCCGCGCCACGCCCGCCGAGGCCGACAACGGCGCCACCTGGCCCCAAACCCCCGTGCAAGTCAAGCTGGGCACCTGGGTCGGCGGCAAGCCCGACAACCCCCAGGGCACCATCGACTGGGCGGGCGGTCTCGCTGACTTCGCCCAAGCGCCCTTCATTGCCTGGTACAAGGAGGTCAAGATTACGGACTACTGCGGCGGCAAGGATCAGGCGGGCGAGTATGTGTATACGGATTCGAGCGGATCGCAGGGCAGCATTGAGGTGAGGGGGAGCTCCAGTGATGTTGGCTTTGGGGATGATAAGGGCAAGTCTTCGACTTCTACTTCGACGACTTCGTCTTCTTCGCCTACTTCCTCTTCGGCTTCGAAGCCTAGCTCTTCCTCGACTAGCTCGTCTAGCTCTTCCAGCTCTTCTAGCTCGAACTCTACGAGCGCTACGGGGGGTGGCTCTACGCCCACCGACGGCGCCGATGGTGGCTCTTCGAACAACGGTTCGGACCAGGATGGTAACGGCCAAGGTAGTGGCGCAGTGGCGGCCCGGTTGTCGTCTACCCTTGCTGCGGTTGTTGTTCTCGGATACGTCTTGTTTTCCTAAAGCGAGTTCTTCTGTCTTGTTGCATTTTTGGTTTGTTTTCTTTCTTGGATTTGAAATGGCCTGTATGACTGGATGGAAACATGGACACGGCTTGGATAATGTGCATATGCAAGGGATTTTGATTTGGGGGAGCCGGGTTCAGCGTATTGGAGCGTAGACAGGGAAACATTTGAAGTACTTTTCTTTTCAAAAGAGTCACAAGATGGATTTCATTTACGCATTCATCTCATTAATATTGGGCGATATGGAGACCCCTTTTTTAGATACCATCCAGATACATGTGATATTATCATTGTGGAACCATGACAGCATAGAAAAAAAGACGAGTCCATTCTCCTCGATACATTTCCTGGGTAATATTTAGCGTTGTGCCACTTTCGCCTGGGAGACGATGTCCAATATGCCTCGTGTAACACTGAGATTTGAGCCGGGACGGGAATTCAAAAGGAAGGCCGCAAGCGAAAGGAAAGGGCAGGACAATAGAGTGCCCGCCACATGCGGTCTCTAAAGCCTGGCCAGAGGAAGATATCCTGGAGTTTTTGGCTTGGCTTAAAGACGCCCTCACGGACTTGACAAGGTAGAGAGAGCGGAGAGCCCCTCCGTCACCTGTACTTTTTTTCCGATCCACACATCTGGGCGCATCTTCCCATCCTCACTAGACCTCGTACGGACGGACTGCGCGTGGAATGTGGAATAAGCTTAGCCAGAACTCGTGAGAGACATGTAAATACCCGTGTCCCTGCCGCAAGCAGAAGCGAAATCATCCTCCCTTGTCCAACCCCAACTTCGAAGGAAGAGGAAAGGGAAGAGAAAACTCCGGGTAAAATACAAATATTCGATTCGATATTGCGAAAGAAAAACCCAGCCACAATGAAGTAGTCACAGTCACGAAAACTCGGAAGAAATGAAGCCAACACCATCATCATACTTACCCTGCCAGCTCGGATCGGAGATGCACCCATCCCCCCTCCGGCACCCTAACCAAACTGTCGGGTCCGTCCCTCGTCTTCCGTTGGCCCAACGCCGCAGTGCTACGTTGCTTCGCAGACGGCTCGATATAAGATCCCTTTATGTTGAGGATGTCGCTGCGAGCGTTGTGCCTGACATTGTCCAACATCGGTCGATTGCGGGAGAGCAATAACAAGCCCACCACGTGGGAGCACCAGCTGGGTCAACAAGAGACAAGGTTGGGAAAAAAAGTAGATGAGTACTGATTAAGTTACATACTTCTTCCTCTCCATTCTCAAGTCCCTTCGAAAAGAAAGGCTAGAGAGGGGAAGGGGGGGAAGGGGAAGGATAAACGGCTGCGAGTAGCCTCGCTCCCGTGCCCGTTTTCTTCCTAGTATCCCGATATCTATACCCGGTAGCCAACTGATACAAAGTCATGCGCCCTTCTGCTCATATTCGAGAGCAGAATAGGCAATATCCCGACTACTAATACAATGAGCCTGTGAGGCTGTGGTCTCCTCTGTCCTGCGCTGAACCTACTCGAATACCCAATGACACATTGACCAAACCCCATCATTACCCACGCAACAGACCCGTCTGGTAGAAGAAGGGGAAAAGAAAAAACCATTAGAAATGAAAGCATCGTACAATTCGCGAGGCCGCGCCGCAGATCCCGGTATCAAAGAATTCGTCCATTCTTTCCCACTCTCGGCGCCGGATCCCCCGCTCACACTATGTTGTCGCCGAGCGGGGCCAAATTCCCATTCCCCACCGGCCTGCGGTCCGGAACACCTCCGGCCATGCCGGTATTGTAAGCGTTAACGTTAGTCATCGCTGGCCCGTTCGCCATTCCGGATCCTCTCCTGTACGCTTGCCCACCAGGTGCGCCATTAACCCCCGGAAGACCACCCAACATGATATCAGGCCCTGTTCTTCGACTAGCCCCATGGCTGACCTTCCACATGCCCTTGGTAAGCATGACACCTTCAAGATTCTCCTCTCTCGCAAGGTCGTATTCCACCAACTCCCTCGGCTTCAGTGGGATGTGGTTGAACCTCCAATCCCAGACGGCCGCATAGTAAGCCCTGTACACGGCCAATGCACTCAGAAAACCAATAATAGACCCGACGACAACGTCATGGGGATGGTGATCCGCATTAATGAGCACGGAGCAAGCAATCAGCAGAGCTCCTAGTAAAGGCATCAAAGTAAGAGCCACCTCCCAGCTCATGGGCCGATAATTACTCCATGGCTTCAGCTTGCCATTGAGGTAAAAGAATAAGAACCCCAGACCGGAAAAAGCGCACGCGGCATGGCCCGAGGGGAACGACGTCATCGCCTGCTTCAGCAGACCTTTGTCGGTCTGTCGGCAAATGTCCGTCGAGTAATAAACCTGGCCGAATCCGGTGCCATTCTGAAGCTGGGCCGGGTCCGGGTCGCAAACCTCGAGAAAGTAGGGTCGGAACCCTCCGATGAGGGTCTTGAGGAATACATGGACGCATTCGGCGATGATGACAGCATAGACGTTACCCATGATGCCGTTGGTTACGTCCCAGAGGCTGCGTATGCGGATCTGGAACAGGGCGATGAGGATGATGGGGATAACGAAGCTGAGGACAGCGGCGAGCCAGGAGTCGATCGCCCAGCTACGGTATGGGTACGCGATATTAGGATCGAGGATTTGGGTACTAGGGCGGCTCCCCGGGCCCGGTATCGGGTAGGTAATGGCGAACCTGCGTCCTCCAACGGGGGATGCAAGGTAAAGCTGTCCAAAAAGTGTCTGTTAGCGATTTCTTTTCGGCATCCATCCTCGCTGCACGCTGGGGGTGGGGGCTCACTTACAGCGAGGGTAACGAGACCGACGACTAAAATAGTGGCAATATCGAACCACGTCTGCTTCAGCCAGATGACGAAAAAGTTGACATGCCTATTACGCCTCCATCCTCGTCGTGGACGCGGCGCCGCAGACGCAGTCGCCGTCGCCGTCGGACCGGTGCCGCTCGTCGCGTTGCGGGCGTTTCTCCTATTGAACGGACCAAAGAGGCGCTGGTACCTGGGCGGTTCTTTAGCTCCGTTAGATGCAGCTCCATTCTTCTCAGCGTGCCCGTTTGTGGGAGGGATTATACCCTCGTCCTGGGCGACGGGCGGCCGGTTCTGTTGAAAGTTCATTTCGACAAGTTTCAAGTCTTGGTTTCGACTCCGAGGAGTCTTCCTTTCGCTCGTTGCCGTTATCTTGGAAGAGAAGTACTCGGCCGGACAGCTTTTTGAAAGAGCGACAAGACCAACAACACGTAAATAGAGGAACTGATTTTTATTATGGGTCAATGTCGATGCTTTCGGAAGGGAAACATTGTAGCTATGCCAGAAGCAAGCAGGAATAATCTGAAATGAGAATGGTGTTTAGGTTTTGCTAGTCCTTGATAGCAGGAAAGGTAATAACAACATTGAAATATTCAACGCTCGTGATGTCGGGTGCGCAACTGCCTTATTTAGAGCATTCTCGAATGTGCTTTCCAACTTGTAAAACCAGCTGTCATCACTGACGTCATCGCATTGATCGATCCTGCCAAGACGGCGATGGGCGAAAATCCCTGGAAACGGAATGCATCGAGCTTGTGAATTATGGGAATTGAGGTGGGCCGAGAAAGCCGGGAAATGCGGCTTGCGTAAACTTAAGTCATTTAATCATCAAGCTGTCACAGGGCTTGAATCTGTGTGAGCTGGGCCACTTGGCCGTCGGGCTGGGGAAGTGGCATGACGCCGGTCGAGTCCGGCTCGGTCCGACACTGGACTCCGACAATCACATTTCCCTACGGAGTACTTCGTACACAGGTCCAATTGTGCTCTCTTCGATCAACGAGGCAGAAACAGAAAACGGAGGTATATTCTGCGGTGCAAAATGAATCAAAATAACCAAAATCAAAAAGACACACCATACCGGGGTAGATATACACCCGCCAAGAACTCTGTCCACGTAGTAGTTCTTGCCCAACTCCCCAACTCCTGCCCCAATGCAACCCAGAGCCGCCCCAAGAAACAATGACAATAAAAGAAGAATAAGAAATAATAACAGTGGAAACATCACGCACGCATGCACGCACAAAATGCTCACTTCCGCTCATCAAAGCGCGACTCCAAGACCCTCATAAGCCCTCTCAACCATCTTGCCACCCATGCCAGGCACCGCTCTCAGCTGCCCCAGCGAGGCAATCTTCGCACCGTCATTCTCCGGCAACAACTCGAGGTAGTCGACGAGATCCCTCGCCTTCTTCGGCCCAAACCCGTTTAGGCTCTTGATCTGCATGAGATCCCGCGAGTTGATGATGTCCAGCAAATGTTGCGCCCTCGGAGTTACTGGGCCTTCCTCCTCAACGGACGCAACCTTGACGGCCTTCTTCTTCCTGCTCTTGGGCTTGGGAGATGATCGGTCCATGAAGCTTACGTCGTCATCCGCTTCGGCCGCCTCGTAGTCATCGTCGTCCACTCGCCTCCGCTTCTTCTTTTCCGCCTTGGCCTCTTGGACCTTGGACGACGCTTCCTGCTGGAGACCCAGCTTGGAGCGTAACCTCTCGATCTTGCTCAGGAGCTTCGCCTGGCCAGGGAAGAACGGGAGTGCCATCTCGTACATCTTAAGTGCAGCGGCATCATCCCCCCGTTCCTTGCTCTGGCGCGCAGCAAGCAGATACCTCAGTCCATCCGAGCGCCCGTCTTCGCGACGGTCCTCCTCGTCAATCCTCCGCTCAAGCGCTTCGAGTCGACGCTGCACCGCCTCGTTGATATCGGGCTGCACCGGTGCCGGTGCGGGCGCAGCATTCTGTGCCGCAGCGGCCCTCGAGGCCAAGATCTCGCTCACCTTCTTCTCCACCATGGCCTCAATATCCTTCTCAGTAATGCTCGCCGGGTTGGGATGCAAGGAGGCCTGCGTGGGAGGACGAGCGATCTTGGTAGGAGGAGCAAGACGGTGAGTTGGCACCGGCACCCCCGTCTCGGACTTGCGCTTGGTGGAGTTGGACCTCCGGATCTGCGAGGTGTTGGCGATTGGCCGCGTCGCAAGCGAGGGCTTGGATCGATCGGCGTACACGCTAAATGCCTTGGTGGGCTTATTGGAATCAGAAGAAGCGGCCTTGGCCACGACGGCACCACTGTGCACGTTGTGGGCGTTGGCGAGCGGTCGCAGAGGCTGTCGCTGAATCCCTGCACCCGAAAGAGCCGACGTAGTCCGGGGCACCTGCTTGAAGACGACTTCGTTTTCGATTTCTCGAACTTCGATTCGCTTCGCACGGGAGCTAACGTTCAGACTGCTCAAGGTATCGAGGTGGTAGCTTCGAAGTGGAGCGAGGTTAAGGATCATGATGGTGATACCATTGTTCTGACCCAAAGACAGAATCCGAGTCATCTTCGACTCTCGGTACGGAATCCGCTTGTCGCCCCTCGAGATGGCATCGACGCACTGGCTCAGGACGAACAGAGACTTGTTAATGGCAGCCGACTCTACAAGCCGTTCCCTGTTATTGTCCGTCCGACGATTATCTTCCGATCCGGCAAGGTCAATGGCAGACGCCGTGCTCTCGCGAATAGTATTCCCCGTGATCTGGGTAAGCTTGACGCGGAGAATCGCGTGACTCCTACTACTATGAGCGTTGAGCTTCGTCGCAGCCGTGATGCGGTTATTATTCGCCTCGATGTACAGCCTCTCAAAGTCCTTGAGGTCTTCACACGGCCGCTCCGTCAACCCCACGACATACGTCTTGCTGTCCTTCTCGCGCAGAGGGAGACCCGCGGGTGGCCTTTTCTCGGGCGGTTCTAGGAGATCGAAGACCTTGTCGTTGTAGATCTCGTAGTACGATAGGTCGACGTTTATTTGCGTCTTGCCGTTAGAGTCCTTCATGATCTTCTTGCCGCGTCGGAAGACGCCGCTGAGAAGACGCGGGATGACGCCTCGGTCGGCGAGCTTCAGGCCGCCTCGCATGGTGTGCGTCTTGCCGGTGCCGGTGACACCGTAGGCGAAGATGGTTACGTCGAGGCCCTGGAAGAGGGACTTGAGATGAGGTGCGACTAGGAGGAAGGGATTGAGAGACAGGGTGTCAATTTCATGGTCTCGTTTCTTCGTTTTTTATACCGCCCACTTTCGGGAAAGAGGGGGTTTTTCTAGCTTTTGGCGTCAATCGAAGGAGGGAAGAAGAAAAGGAGCTTACCTTCGGCAGTAAACAACTTCTCCTGCGTCGTCGACTGGTCGTAGACGCTATTGAAGGCGAAGGAGAACTCCTCGGTGCCATTCTTGGGATTCGGAATCTTGACAATGGTGGGATGCTTGCCCTCCTCGGTGCTGTCGGCACGAACAATAACGTCCTTGTCGAGCTCCTTCTCCAGGAGTGGACGTATCCGGGCGACGACTCGAACAGACATGCTTTCGAGAAAATCAAATTGAAGCTACCAATGCCAATGAAAATGCCCCGAAAAGAAAGGATAAGTGAAAATAATAAAGCAAAGAGAAAGACAGAAACAAAACCCTGACCTCAATTGGGTGCTTCACAGCGAATGCTTTGCTAAGTCCGTGTCGAAAAGAAACCCAAGTTTGTGCGGTCGTTCTGTCTGTCCCAAAGTAAACGATCCAATCGGGAGATCCAAGCGGGTGTGTTGGAACGTTCTCGTCGGCCCAGCAACGGATTGTTGACTAAGCCAAACGCGAGAAGCGCCAAATCACGTGGTGTCATCCCAGACCGGAAGCACCCGCCAAGCTCCAAACATCATGCATCATCACTTTTTTTTTCCCGGCTCAGATGGTGTTCCGGAGCCTTTTCCCATCTGCAAGTGAAAGAACCGGGGAATGACTCGAATCTGAGCCGTACACCTCAGTTCCGCCTCACATTATCGCCATGCGCGGCCAATCGCCCCTGATCCGAGTGGCAGCCGGCCTGCGAGCGCAGAGCAGGCGCTCGATTCTGAGCCGGCAATGTCGGGCCATTCAGATTAGTGCGTCGCCGGCCACGGAGAGTCAGCAGGTCGGCGCGGATGCTTTTGGGTTGAGTGCTTCGTCTCGGGATCCGGCCGGTATGTATTACGACTCCAATTGGCTCTGCTTGGGTGTCGGTTCTTACGAGAGACTAATCTAATTCTTTTGGTCGTGTTAGATGCCCGATTCGAAGTTCTCGGAAGCCCTTATTCTCTCCTCTCTGTCACTCTTTCTGCTTCTCAGAAGCTTTATACTCGCCGGGGTACGCTGGTAGCTGTCGCCGGCAACCCTGAAAACGTATGCGAAGACCTGGTCCGATTTTCATAATTATGGCGAGAGGGGGATTACTTACACTCTGTGTCCAGGCGCAATCTACTTTGTCGATCCTTTCACCGTTTACACGAGCTTTCTTTGGTGTTCCCTTCCTCTACCAACGCATCTCCTCAACCACCCCGCTCACCGCACTAATATCCACCAAATCCCCCACGACGACCTTCTCCGTCCTCCACCTCGACGGCACAACCGACTGGATAATCTCCCAGCGCAACGCCCTCCTCGCCTGGACAGGCCACACACTCTCCCCGACCCCACGCCTCCAGCGCCACCTCTCCGCCGCCCACTGGGGCACCACGCACGTCACGGGCCGCGGCCTTGTGGCCCTCACCTCCCCCGGTCAAGTGTACCGCCTCACGCTCTCCGAAGGCGAAGAATTCATCGCGCATCCGTCCAACGTCGTCGCCTACACCGTAACCCGCACGCCTCCCCAACCCTTCCGCTTCAAGAGCTCCGTCTTCCGTCTGCAGATCCCTTCCCTGCCTAGGGGTATCGCCAACGCAGAGTTCTTCCGTGTCATGCGCACGACGGACACGTACAAGACGCTCGCGCGCCTGTTTTACAACGTGCGCACGTCGCTGCGCCGCACGATTTGGGGCGATAGGCTGTTTTTGAGGTTCCAGGGCCCTGCTACGCTGCTCATGTCGAGCAGGGGCGTGAGGTTGGCGGACTCGTTGACGAATGAGGATGTTAATGAGATTGCAGACGCGGAGGCAGGCAAGGCTGCCGAGGTGGTGAATAAGTTGAAGCGGGAGGCTGTGAAGGCTGAGGAGAAGGCGAAGGAGACGGTGTTGGTGAGGAAGGCGCCGGATGCGGTGGATGGTAAAGTTACGCTTGAAGGGTTGAGGAGGCTTAAGGATACGATGCAATGATTGGGTTTAATAGACTAGATGGGTATGGTGGGGTCGAAAGAAAACGTGTATAAAATGGCCTTTTCAGGAGGGTAAACTGTGTGTACAATAAGAGATTATTACAACTCATTGAATTTAAGTCTCGTGTCCGAGGCCTACTATGGTTATCTGGTGAGAGAGAATTCTCTAGTTGCAGCACGGCAGTGTGATCCTGCGGATGGGTCTCATAAAAATGCTAGATCGGCTTCTGTATATTAGTATTGTGACTGATTGGAGTGGTAAAGCTCATTGTGAGACTGATATAATGTACATCTCAGCATACAAAGTGATGTAAGTAATGTACGAAGTATGCACATCCTCGCTAGCTCTCCAGACCAACGTAGGAACAATCTCCTCCATTTTCTTGGATGGAGCTTGGGAATTGACGGGAAATTCAATCACCAACAGCATCTGCGCGGAGGGGTGAAGTGACTCGTCGCCAGGCAGTAAAACACCCACCGGGACAAACCCACCTCAAAAAACCTTTGCATAGATCTGCCTAAACATTTCTCATTCCTTCGTAGGGCATAGATGAGGCCTACGTTGGGTCCGCCATAACCCATGACTGTAATCGCCGACAAAATGTGGGTTTCGTTCGGCGAAGTAAGCATCTCCAAAGTAAGAAACCCCATCCACTGTCCGTCCGAAGCTTCCGCAGAGTTAAGGGAGCCAAAGCCCCCCATGGGGAGGAGAACAAGGTCCAGAACCCACATGTGAGCTCAGGCGGGCCGTCTCGGTTTTAGGTGCGCTACGGAGTGTACAGTTATCAGATGGTTGGGATCTTCTGATTCCTTCAGCAGCGGATTTACGCCGTGGGTTGTTTTTCTTATGGCTTCTCCTTTCCCACATTTTTGTAAACTTCTCTGAAGCAAACATCATCGGTGATCACGGCATTTTCAGCCGATGAAGCTCGCCCTTGTGGTCAATCCAGATGAGTTCCGTCGGCTTGCCAGATACATGCTTAGCGCCTCTTACTCGGCCGAGAGAACGGACAAGCTCTGGAGGGATTGTTCTGGACTCTTGGTGATTCAAATCAGCCGCATCACCACCTAGACATGTTCAGACAATGCCTTCAGGAACGCAGAAAGGCCTGTTACCCACCCCCTTGTCCTTGACAAGGGCCTCGCAACAAATTCCGCCCTTCCTCGTGTTAGCTCGTCATAAAAGCCACTAAGGTTAACTCCGAGAGCGCGAACCACCGAAGTGGGTCCCGCCGACACAGTCAACCGGGAAAGGGACTTCTGTCACACACACACAGAACGAAACAGCACGAATCCCCAGCAACACCAGCTGCACGCTCCTCCTAGCTCCCCTGCCTTCGAACCCGAAGAGTCTTGGTATGCATCGCAATGACGAGCTGTGTGCGCTGAATTATTAATCTCCCTGTAAAAGCCGGAAGAGTGGGTGTGAAACCAAACTCCGGCAGGTGGACGAAGAAGTAGGACGGAGCAGCAGTGATTTATAATGGAGTTTCCCTATCTCCAGATGTTGTCCCCGTACTTCGTACTTGGCAGGCACGTAAAAGCCGAATCCGCGAAAAGAGTCGAGAGGAAAGCAAGGGGTGCGTGTGCCATGTGGTTTGCCAAAACCAGAAGACGCAAATTCGAGCCTTGCCGTGTTCGCTTAGGCTTGCCGGCAATCCAACATTGCGCATGTTTGTAAGATTGCAGATGTGAATACATGACCCGGCAAGCAGGTTCCAGTCCCATGCCGAGCCGCTGAAGGCCTAGGTCTCTCTCACACCACGTCGAGTTTGTTGTTCGAAAACCGTTTAGAGCTCCAATTTTTTTTTTCTCTTCCCTTCTCTCGCTGAATTCGTTTTGATCCCACCTATTTCTTCCTCTCCTTCGGGGATATACTAGCGGATATCGGAGATGCCCCGTAAAATGCCGACGATGATGTGAAAAACGACACCTCTTGAATTAACATATAATCCAAGCATTTCAATCTTCATTCGGATTTTCTGTTTTCGTTGCGCTAAGTCATAGCTTGGGTTTTTTTTTTCTTTTTTCTTCCCCCAGTCTTTTGTTTCCGAGCCCAATCAGCAATGAAGTCCGCAGTATCCACAGCGTCCTCCTCATCCACGATCAACATGGAGACGCAAACACCCAAAGCCAGCTCCAGGAGGGATCCCTCTCCCCAATCAACGGCGGCGGGCAACTTAGACTCCGATCCCGAGAAGGTGCTTCCCGTTGACCCAAGGAAATCTGATTTATCTCTCGGCGGCGACGAAAAGGGACGTGATCTCAAAAAGGGCGCCGAGGACGATGCCGCCAGTGTTCGAAGCGGTAACGATGTGGCCGCGCCGGCTCCGGCTGGGTCTCCGCCGATGGATTTCCCGGACGGTGGGACGCAGGCGTGGTTGGTTGTTTTGGGAGGATGGTGTTCGCTGTTTTGCACCTTTGGTTTGGTGAATTGTATCGGCGTGTTTCAGGAGTATTATACGCGGGACTTGCTGTCGGGGACGAATCCGTCGACGATTAGTTGGATTTTGTCGATTCAGGTGTGGATGATGACGTTTCCTGCTGCGATTGTAAGTTTGACATCCACGACTCATCGAAGTGATGAAATCAACCCCTCCCCTTCTTCAAAGTTTAAAGAGAATAAAGAGATAGGGAGAAAGAGAAAGTAATACTGACCAAAACATAGTTTGGCCGCATCTTCGACGCTCACGGCCCCCGATGGCTGCTCCTCGGCGGCACAGTCACCTACATCTTCGGCCTCATGATGACCTCCCTCTCCACAAAATACTACCAACTCATCCTCGCCCAAGGCATCGTCTCCTCCCTCGGCTCCAGCGCCATCTTCAACGGAACCCTCTCCTCCGTCGCCGGCTGGTTTCTCAAGCGCCGCGCCACCGCCTTCGGCATCGTCGTCTCGGGATCCTCCGTCGGCGGCGTCATCGGCCCCATCATGCTGCGCCACCTCATCGACCGCATCGGCTTCCCCTGGGCCGTCCGCGCCATCGCCTTCATGTACCTCGGCCTGCTGACCATCGCGTGCGCTACCATCCGCTCGAGGATGCCGCATAAGAAGACGCCGTTTGTGCTGAGGGAGTACTTGGAGGGGTTGAGGGAGCCGGTTTTTGCTACGACGTGTTTGGCGTTTTTCTTGTTTGCTTGGGGGATGTTTTTGCCTTTTACGTATATTATTTTGCAGGCGCAGAAGCAGGGGATGGATCCGAGTCTTACCATGTACCTCCTCCCTATTATGAACGCTCTCAGGTATGTTGTTTTTCTTTGTCCCAAGTCCCCATCCGGTCACGTCGTTGCGGCGGGGGGGCAAAGAAGAAGAAGGAAAGCGGAGAAAAGAAACGAGCGTTGCTAACCATACCTCTCAGCATCATCGGCCGTATCCTCCCAGGCTTCGCTGCCGACAAAATCGGCCGCTACAACGCCATGATCGTCGTCGGCTTCCTCACGGCCCTCTTCACCCTCGTTCTGTGGATCCCTGGAAAATCCAACGCCGCCATCGTCGTCTACATGGTCATCTTCGGCTTCACGTCGGGCGGCTTCATCAGTCTCAGCCCGCCGCTCATCGCCCAGATCTGCGACATCCGCCAGATCGGAACCCGAACCGGAGCCGCCTTCGCCATCCAGTCCTTCGGCGGCCTCACGGGCTCGCCCATCGCGGGAGCTATCGTTTCGGCGCAGGGGGGCGATTATCTTGGCTTGCAGCTGTTTTGCGGTATTACTATGATGGCGGCCGTGGTTGTGTTCATGGTCGCTAGGTATATGCAGGCTGGGTTCAAGCTGAAGGTTATATGATTTGTGAAGAAGTTGGGGTGATGCTTCTTTTTCCCCTCCCCCTTTCGTCACCCTCCTCTCTTCCTTTAATTCCTCCCAATTTTCTCGAGCTTCGCAAACCAAAAACGGTCGGGGTTTATTTCCTTCTAGAGGTTGTTGTGGGGCAGAAAATGCTTTTGTTGGGGCGGATTGCTTTTGAGGAAAGAACGGTGAGCATCTTGTCGACAAACCGTGCCCATCTCAAACAATTCCACAAATCTCTCCTCCAAACTTATTTTGCTTAATCATTATATAGAAAGGGCTGGCGTTTTACGAGATACATAGGCGGGCGGGCAAGTCTCTGAGGTTGGCAAGCATATTTCCGCTTGTTGATAGACACAAGACTGGACATACCGGTACGAAAACACTGGGGAGGGAATTAGAGAATTAGACGCTAGATATTCTCAATCTGCTATTTTTTTTAATGTAAAACTGAACGGCGTGGGTATAATTGTAGCCTCCAAAGACGTAGGAAAGAAAAAAACACGGCGATAAGAGTGGTCCCGTAAAAGGAACAGTTGAAGAGATGAACAATAAAGAACCGAACCCACGCCCTGGTATCCCTCACTAGAACCCCAGAAATGAAGAAGCCCATAAGCCCAAACGAAACGCTAAGTAAACTGAGTAGCAATGATAACGAGAACTTCAACGGTCGAACCAGAACTCGCGGGTCCATGTTGATAGGTTATCACGCATCTGATGGGAAGGTCGAGGCGGCACGACTAAGCCGTCTCAGAAGAGGAGGGAGGCGGCCGGCCCGAAGCATCGAGATGCATTCGTCAATAACGCTACCGTCGCCGACATCCATAGACCTCGACCTATTCAGCCAGTACTCAAAGGGACCGCCTTCAAAGGGGAAAATGTTAGCAAAGCAACTAGAAAAAGAAGAAGAGAGGAATGAAAAGGGGGGATGGGAGTAGAATAAGAAAAGAAGGCAGCATACGATTGAGATTCAAAGCATCGCCGAGCTCCTCGCAGCGCTCAGCCGGCGAGTGCTCGACATGCATCTCCGTAAAGTGAGTAATCATCTTCGCTACGTCCTTGAGTGGCCACTTGCAGGGTGCGCTAGGCTGTCGTGGTGGAGTGGCGGTAAGATACTTTGGTGATGCGCATAGGCGACACTTCCAGTACCCCAGGCGCTGGACGGTGTTTCCGGGGTTCTCGTCGGGAGGGGGGGCATCGGGGACCTGTTTCCTAGGCCGCTTGGCAGAGGACTGGCCGTCGGAGGAATGTTCGGCACTTTTCAGAGAACGCTTAGCAGGCGTTTGGCTAACGGCTTGGCTCGCCTGGTGCAGCAGAGACAGACTGGGAGATTCCGGCGCGGCTACGCCGAGCACGCGACCGCTATTGGCCGGCGAAGGATGCGTGACGGCGTTGAGGCTGTTGATGACCGTCGCGGTGCTAGGCGGTGGCTGCTCGTACTTTGCGAGGCTCGTGAGAATCTCGATCTTGTGCTGGCACAGGCGGATCTGGTGGCCGAGATCGAGCATCCGGAGACGTAGCGTCCTCACTTCCTGGGCCGTGAGGGTCCCCTCTTCCCGCAGCTGCGAAGCGCAGTAATCGCGGTCATACTGGTAGGCGTTCTGGTCCTCCTTCATGTGTCTGAGAAGGAGCTCCACGAAGCCGTTCGATTGCGTCATGCCTGCGGGCATGATGGCGTTTCCGGCGGCGGCAAAGGTGAGATCTCGGGGATCGATGGAGCCGGCCACAGGGGTTCCGTTACTGGAACGCGCCATCTGCATGTGTCCCGATTGGACTTGGGAACGACTGTGAGTTAAGTGTGAGCGATCAAGTTGAGATTGAGATTTGAAAGATGTGGGAAATTGACGATAAGAAGTGAAATGGAAAAGAAACGGGATGAAGGAAAAATGAGAGTGTAGTCGAAGGGGATGAGCGGTCGTCGAGATATCAAGATATCAAGATGAGAAGGGACAGCTGGGGAATACGAACCTTTTCCTACCGCTCATCATTCTTGCGCTTTTAAGGACAAACAACGGAATGAAATCAAAGGAGAAGAAAAATAATTCCAGGAGGTGTGTCCTGGACTGCCGAGAATGTGTAGATGTTGATAAAAGAGAAGGCGGACAATGAAGACGCGAAGCTTCAAGTTGAGGAGAAAAGAAACCGAAAAAAGAAAAGGAAGTCGCGATGGAGAAAAAAAAAAAAAAAGTGTGAAAATGGGAAAGAAAAAAAAAGGGGGGGGAAAAGCAAACAGCCAATCAACAACATCGTACGAACTGGGCGGCCAATCAGGATTCGTATTCTAAGCTACCTGTTTTTTTTTTTTTCTTACTTTCTTTCTTTGTCTTTTTTTCTTTTTCTTTTTTCTTTTCTTTTTTAAATTCCTTTTTTATCGCTTTGCTTTTGTACCCTTTATTTTATCATTTTATGTGTGGGCTTTTTTTCCCATTTTCCCTTTATTTACAGCACAATTTTTAATCATTTTTTTTTTCTCTTGTCATTCACAATCGAGATCATTTCCGTTTGCATTCATCTTCCTCTTCGTCAAATGTTAACTACAAACAAAACATAATTGATACTTCGTACTCGGTTTTATAAGACCCAGACTCGCGATATCAAAGCGAATAGAAAATACATATCAATTCAGCTCTGGCTGTAACTATTGACCTAAATATTGGCCGGAGAGACAACTCGATCGACGTCCCTCTTTTTGTTTTCTGAAATTCATTCGATTGTATGTCAGAAGATTGTCCCATTTACAATTCTCGCCGTCGGCCAGCTCCCATTCACCATCTTTTTTTTGTGCTCTTTGAACTGCATCGGCTTGTAGACTCTTCGATACTCACTAACCAGACAAGCATCCCATCGCTTAATGAGCCCCATTGACCTTGGGGAGTCTGATTCAAGCGCCTGCGAGTCTGAGGGCTGGCAAACACATCTGTGTGAGTTCGCTCACAGGACGAAGTCGCTCTTCATTGCCCGCGCGCCTCCAGAATCTCTCCAACAACTTTTGCTGTGGCCTTCACAATCAATTCGTGCTCATAAGAGTGTATCCTCTCCTCCAGCTGGGGGAGGTCCTCTCCCTTCCACTCGATTTCTTGCACCATAATCGGGTCTCCCCTGTCAACCTTGAGGATAACGTAATGCACCATGATACCAGTGCGAGTGGCCTTTCCGGCCTTGAAGTCGCTGAAGGCGCGCTCTATCGCCCCCGCTCCATCATACGCACCTGTTTTTGGGGGCTGTTAGCAGCTCATTCCGTGGAGTGATACGACGGGGATGGTTTTACATACCTGGTAACGCTGGGTGTAAATTAATTACTTTCAAACCAAGCTTTTCTACCGGCTCTAGGAAGGGAGCTGAGAAGACGTGCATCCACCCAGCGAGAACGATGAGCTCTGGCCTCTCCTCGAGCTCTAGCACCTTTGTTGCCAATGCGGCGTCGTACTTCGCACGCGCCTCAGCTACCTTGGCCTCATCCTTCTCTCCCTTGGGCAGAAACCCGTTGCTAATCAGGTTGAAGTATTCCCAGGGAATGCCTATAGAAATTAAGAATTAGATGGAGGTTCTTTGCTTAATGTGGTGGAAGAAGAGGTGGCTTATATAAATACCAGCCTGGTCCGCCCTCGTCGTAGCATATGCCTTTGAGCGGTTTACAATAAGACGGACAATCTTGCTGTTAGGGATTACACCAGACGCGACTGCATTGATCAAAGCCTGAAAGTTGGAGCCATTGCCGGAGGCCATCACGAGGATTCGGCACGGCGATTGCTTCTGGTCGGTCATCCTGACGGTGGATTTGTGAGATTTTTGTTCAGCCTGGAAAGCGGAAACAGGTGAGTGTGAGCTTTCGCGAGACTTGGGTGAGAGGTACTGCGGGGCAGTGATGAGGTGAGAAAAAAAAAAGACCTGAAGTAAGGGCACCGCTCAATGGTTTTGGAAATGATTGATTCAATTGCCAAAGAGAAATCTGCGATAGCCCAGTTTCCCGACGATGAATTGGCCTAGAAGCGTATCCAGCTAAGATATAAAATGCGAGATGCGAAGAGAGAAACGTTGTTCGTCCGAATCGCATTCGATCCTTCCTGATGAAAACCCTCAAACTGCCCCACCATGGTCGAGACCAGCTTTGAAGGTCCTGAGGTACTTGGTACATTGATGGAGGGGTAGCTCCTGACAGCTGCCACAAAATTGACAACTGTCTGTCGGTCCGACTATTTCGCTGCCCCACGTCCTGATAAGATAAGCAATTTTCCGACAAAAAAAAAACAGTTTGGGGAAAAAAAAAAGAGGCGACGACAAATTCCTGGTGCCCAGATTTTGACGACAAGCCAACCACCACTCGTGCGTCACCTAACTCCTCCACGACACCCAACCCCAACCCAAAATGCCGAACCCTAGAAGCAAAAGAAAAGCGCTTCGCGAAAGCCGCAAGCGAAAACAAGAAGACGAAGCAGAGCAATCGACCAAGAGACAACGCGTCGGTCAAGATGAAGCAGGAGAAGAAGAACAAGGAGGAGAGGGAGGCTACAACTATGACGGCGACGCCCAGCAGCAAAACGAAGGTGCCGGCGAAACTCAATTCTTCGGTCTCCTCTCCGACGAGGAGCAAGAATACTTCCGCGGCGCCGCCGAGGTCCTCGAGCTGAACACCTTCCCCACGCCTGAGGAGAGGGACGTCTTCGTCGAGAACGTGTTCAAGGAGGCTGAGGGCAAGGAGTTGAAGCTCGCCTGCAGCCAAGGTTGCTCGCGGTTGATGGAGAAGCTGATTCTTCTTTCGAACAAGGCGCAGAAGAAGCACCTCTTCGAGGCGTTTGCGGGGAATTTCCTGTCGTTGGTGCAGCATCGCTTTGCTAGCCACTGCTGCGAGATGCTCTTCTTGCAGTCGGCGCCGGTCGTTGGCGAGGAATTTAAGGGGTTCGTAATTGATGTCCAGGGGAAAAAGAGCGCTGAGGGTGAGGAGCAGCAGAAAGCGGAGTCATCTATGGAGCATTTGTTCCTGTTGACGCTTGACGAACTCGAGGGGGACCTTACTTTCCTCCTTACTCAGACCTACGCATCGCATACTCTGCGAGCGCTCCTATTAATCCTTTCAGGACGGCCGTTGGAGGATGCGTCGACCACCGCGTTGCTGAAGAGCAAGAAGAAGGAGCGCATATCGGTCCCTGGTGCGGCGCCGTCCACCGCTGATGACGCCGGGCAGCAATTGCGGGCTGTTCCGGAGTCGTTCGCCATGGCCACCCAAAAGATCATCTCCGACACCATCATGTCAATGGATAGCTCCAGTCTTCGAGTCCTCGTCACCCACCCCACGGGAAACCCTCTCCTTCAACTTCTACTCGAGCTCGACATTTCGTTCAACGTCAAGTCCAAATCTAAAGACGAAAAGGCAGCCTCTGGAGGGACGCTTCTCGACCGACTGCTCCCCGGCGCGCCGGACTCCCTCAAGGACGAATCTTCCAAAGCATCCGAGTTCATCACGAGCCTAATCTATGATCAAATAGGTTCTAGGCTACTGGAGACTTTGATCGTCCACGCACCTAGCAAGATCTTCAAGGCCATTTATCAGAATTTCTTCGCGCAGCGAATCCAGAGCTACGTCCGCAACGAAATCGCCTCCTATCCCGCCATCAAGGTCCTCAACCGGTTGGGTAGGGACGAGCTCATCGCGTGTGTCGGTGAGATCATCCCCGTGATACCGACCCTCATCGACAAGGGGAGGTTCAACGTCATCAAGACCCTCTTTGAGCGCTGCTCGGTCCGTGAGGCACCCGAAGAAATCACAAAACTGACGAATGCCCTCGTTGAGGCCTGCGACGGCGACGCGAAGAGTCTCGTCCCGCGCTTTTGCCAACTCCGAGGTAACGGTGGCGACGCCGAAGACAAGAAGAACATGCCTCAGCACCTTGCCCGAAGCCAGCAAGCCGTCGTAAACCACGGCGCCCAGCTCATCTCCACCATGCTCACCACCGGTGGTTCCGCCGCCGCCGCCGCGCAAACCTCCCTCCTTGGCCTGACGTCGGAGGAACTCCTCAAGCTTGCCACGGGCTCCATGGCCACCATGAGCGTCCTCACGACCGCCCTCTCCCAACCGGCCGCCCCTACCATCTTCAACTTTCACAAATCCCTCGTCGCCTCCCTCCTCCCCCACGCAGCGGACCTCGCGACCTCGCAGTCCGGCCACAACGTCATCAACGAAATCATCTCGCTTCCCTCGAGGGGTAAGGAGCGCTCGGCTCCGTTCCACCTCAAGGAGGCTATCATGGTGAAGCTTGCCGAGAACGAGCAGACGCTTCGCGATTCATGGATGGGGAGGAGCGTGTGGCGGACGTGGAAGGGGGATGTCTGGAAGAGGGGTCGGGGCGATTGGGCGAAATGGGCTAAAGAGATTGGGGATGGAGCCGAGCAGGCTTTTGCTGCGGCGCCAGTGAAAAGAGATAGGAGGTTCCGTAGTCAGAACGGCGGACCGAGGGGGAAGAACGGTGCATCGGCTGGGAGTGCTGTTCCGGCTAATCCGTATATTGCTAGGAGGATAGCTCGAAGGGCGGAACGGGAGAAGATGCAAGGGAAGGAGGAGTTTACCCTGAATGGGAGAGAGCAGAAGAGAGAGCGGAAAAGTGGTGATGGGAATGACGTGAAGGGGGTTACACGGGAGGTAGTGGAGGAAAAGTCGGTCAATGGTACAGATGGCGTTGAACAGGGGAAGAAGAAGGAAAGGAGAGAGAACAAGTACGCGAAGGCAAAGAAGGAAAGGCAGGAGAAGAGGGCAAAGAAAGAGAAGGACGAGGCTGTCGTGGAAGCGTAGTTACATATAATATCATTTTCGTTATAGGGTCTCGGGTATTTAAATTAAACAAATTGCCAAACAACATTAAGCGCTGGGTCAATGTAGGAGCGTTTCTGAGCCGCGAGAGTTACGGTTGAGTGGTTCTTAATTAAAATCTATTCCGTGCCAACTCCTATGACTTCCCGTCCCAATCCCATTCCCGATACCGGCATTATGACCCTCGAAACAATAGCAGAAAGAAGCAGAAGAAGAAGAAAAGAAAAAAAAGAAAAAAAAAAAGAGCAGAGGTAAAAAGGCAGAGGAAAAAAAGGAGGAGAGGAGAGAAATCGTGGCATGAAGCCGCCAGACAGAAGGATATCCCAATAATCCACCCGTCCCACGCCATCCCTCCTCTCTCAAACCCGGCATTCAGCTCAAACAGAGCTCAAACAGAGCTCACTCAACCTTATTCTTCTCAACCCAATCCTTCCATTTCTTATACTCCCCATACTCCAAACTCTCCTTCTTCCCCTGATACCGAACCGTATCCAACTCAATCTCCTGCCACTTATCCTTCCTCCCCATCCACCCCGCCTTCCTCATCAAACTCACAATAGTCTCCTCCTTCGTCCACCCTTGCTCCGTCGCTACATCCGGCAAATAGGTAGCCCCGTACCTCCTCCCATGATACACAAAACTGATCCTGATACCGTGGACGCCGAGCGTCCAATCCATCGCATCATCGCAATCCTCAAAATCCGTCAACAACGTCACCGACACCTCCAGGCTCGGCAGCTCAGACGGCCGCACGGGACTGAACCGCGTATCGTGCAGCGCCGAAGTAAGCGCGTAGCTGGCGATCCCGTCCTCGAGCTCCTGGTCCTCGAAGGTGCCGATGCAGCCGCGGAGCGACCTGTAGCCATCCCTCTGGGAAACGGTGTTCCAGGTCACGAAGAGCGGAGACTCCCGAATCCCCGAGTCATCGTCGTCGTCATCTTCGTCCTCGGTGAAGGAGGTCACGGACGTGGCCGCCGTGTTGGTCGCCAGAGAGAGAGTGGAGGTAGAGTCCGGCGTGGAAGTGCCGCTGGACGAAGAAGCTGCCGAGGCGAGGCGCTGGAGGGCCGGGAGGGCCTTGGTCAGGGTTGTGGGGGTGGAGGCGGAGGCTTTGAGGTAGGCTTTCCAGGTCTTTTGGATGTCGGCTAGGTCCATGGGTTCGCGGCGTTCGAGGTGGGCGGAGAGGGCCTCGAAGGAGTAGAGGCAGTGTGCGAGCGTCGCCATGACTCTCACTTTTTCTTCTTTTTATTTTATTTCGATTTTTTTTATTTATGATCTTTCTCAGGAGCAGTGGTGTTTGGGGATACTGAACGGGGAGATGCCAAGAGGAGAAAGCGGAAGCGGAAGCGGGCAGGACCCTTATTTTGGAGTTGCTTTTCAGCCTAGTAAGAAAACAACGCAAAGAGGGGAAAGAAAGACAGTGGGTGAACGTTAGGCAAGTGGAAGCGTTGGGCCTGTTTCCAAGGGTTTCTGTTCACCCCTCAAAAGGTTGTTTGCAGCGGGGAAAATGAGTGAAGCTCAGGGAAGCACCGGAGATCCGAGCTTTCAGGCAGGGCGGATTACAAGATACAGCAGCGAAAGATGGGGCGGAAGGAGTGAGGGGCAGAGAGCTCGCATTGGAATGGAGTACGAAGTAAGCCAAAATAACTCCACTAAATTGATAGAGGGGTCAAAGTTGGGGCTGTGATGGACGTGGGCTGTCGTCAATTGTCAGCTGCCCTAGCGTGGGGACTGAGCCCAAATTGGTTTTGGGGGGGCGGGGGGGTCATTGTAAGTCAGGTGATGACAACTGGCTCCGGAGCGCCAATGAATTAAACTAGTGATGAGCACCGGAGTTCAAGATGCCGCCTGGTTTGATGTTATCTTGGACTTTGGTGGCTCGGCAGACAAATTTTAGGGCCACATGAGCGGGATATATGCATCTTTTTACGGTCGCTTGCATGTGAGCTAACGCTGTTCGACATGACGGGCTGTGGATGCCTGCATGGGGAGATCGGTTGGGAAGCGTGGCACTTGGAATCAGATGCTCTTCCAAGGTTCCCGTTTCTCTCGTATATGAAGTATATGTTTGTAGATTATCTGGCTTGGTTACTCTAAGACCCGCCAACATGACGAAACCAATGGATTCTTTTTCCTAGGATAAATTCTTGTGCATCTGCAGAGCAACTAGCCTGACTTTGGAGCCAAGGCCCCCAAGATTGACTACAGGCATCTGGAGGCTATAGAGTTTGACTCGCGTACCCCTGTGGGCTCCATGTCCTTCCTCTCTAGGCAAATGCTCAGCAGAAACCTGGAAGCATCCACCTCTCAAGTCCCGAAGCACTGCCAAGGGCTCAAAAGAGTAGGCCATCTCTCGGGTTAGGCCCCACTTAGAATAAGAGGCTGCTTAGATAGGGACCAGAGGACCTAGAGCCTCTAGAACCCTTCGTCTTGAGACTTCCCTGGGTGGCACTGGGGATGACGGTGTCTCTGACGTACGGAGTCCTACAGAGTGGTATCGAGCTATTGAGCATAGGCGTGGCGTTTGCATCAGCGTCTGAAATCATTCCGAGGAAACCGAAATAGGGGTGAAAGCACGTTGGGTTAGTGCGTTCGATTTCAGATCATCTTGATGATGATTGTGTCGTTCTGACATTCTCACAAGTTCATCTTCTCTCCTGAGCCCTTCTACTTCATCCCATTACGAATATGTTATCCGCTAAAGCGGGATATTCGTCATGAAGAGCATCAATTGATGCAAAAGACTCCATGTATCCATATTAGGCGGTATTCGGGGCTGTTGCAGTCACAATGAATGGATTGGAGTGATGAGGTCAATTGGCTGACCTAAGCAGGATCGGTCTTGGCATTGCATGTATCAGATCTCATGCACAGACCGGGCCTGAGACGTCCCAATTCTAGCTTGATTCTATTTTCGTCAATTCCAACCCAGCAACAAAACAAATGGAATTCCAACCAGGTGCACGTGAATCCCCATCCTCGGCGCCTACTCCAGAAAGGATTACGAATTCAGGGATCTGGCCTAGATTTGGGGGGCGCTTCAGTCATCGAGATGCTACCGGAAGGGCATGAAGCGAGAGACTCGGGTGTTTGATGTGCGCTGGCTGTAACACTCCCGCGCCCCTTCACCCCTCGTCGACTCCACGCTCGTTTCAGCGAACCTGGCTCCGGAATCCCACGCCCAGTGCACTTAACCGCAGGGGCTTTTGTATCCCTTCACTTTGTTACTGCGACAGAGTACATGGGCTTCAGTGTCCAAGATTCTTACGTCTCCTCTCAGTCTCCACTTACACGACAACGCCTTTGTCCTCGCTCCGCTTCGGGCTGGTCTCCAGGAGTTTAAAGCTGTTACGCTCATCCCTGAGCAGGCTCAAGAGGAGCAGCGAAAGCAGGGGAACGAGCTTTATTTGTGCTAAGCTTTTTTCCCGCACCCCTGTCAGCGCTTCTCCAGAACGACAACCCTGCTAATGTTGCAGGACCACATCCGAAGCAGACACAGGCTGGGATTGCCTCAATATCAACTCCCTAATATCACACATTGTAGAAGAGAGACGAGTGCAGACCATTTTTACTGCACTTCGTAGGCTCCAAGTGCCCGTCAACCTAGTAGAAACATCCCCCTGATTCTCGCTCTCTTTGGCAATTGTCAGTGGAGACGGCTCACACCCCTCTCCCACTCATCCATGCAACGCCTCGTTGCTGATGCTGGGGATTGTCTCAAGATGATAACCGCCAAGTATCGAGGCTACCAGTGCAGAACTAGAAAAGCTTGTAACTGACCGAGCGGGCCTCTTGTGGAGATCTGTAATAGCACTTGGAGGGTGACAGAACATCGCTTCCCCTGCAGTGTTTTGCCTGATCTTCCTCGGATCCCCTTGGCAGATGTCAATCCTGTTCCGAGAAGCCCATATCTTCCATCCGCTCTACATATACCTATCCCGCTCCTCATAATCCCGTTCCTCCTGATCTCCCTCCTCCCCTTCCTCTTCTTCTCTTCACATTCTCTTCATCTCGTCGAGCTCTTGTCAACTTCATTTTTTTTCGTCAACTTTTATTCTCTCGTTTGTCGCCGGCCGACCCTTTACCACTCCTTTCGCTCATAATCCAACATCTTCTTCTTCGAGGAAAACAAAGAAAAGAAAAATCCGCCAAAATGCAGCTCTCCGTCTTCGCCGTTGTTGCCTTTGCCGCCGTCGCGCTGGCCAACCCCCTCTCTGCTCCCAAGGCCGGTACGAAACTCAAGTCCCAAGAAACCTGATGGAGATGTAGGAAGTGGGGAAAAAACGAAGAAGAAGGAATACAAAAGAACTAACGTGGTGTTCCATCGTCTAGCCATCCGCGCCAGGCAGCAACCTCCCACCAACCCCAACGCCATCGTGAGCGGCCCCGCTGTCAACCAGCCCGCCATGACTGACCGCAACGGCAACGTCATCAACTTCGACAGCACCAAGGTTTACCTCGCCGCCAAGGAAGCCGGTCTCTAAATCAGCAGCACCGAGAATTTGCATTCAATAGGCCTTGGAGACCGTTCAAAATTTTCTCTCCAACGGCGTTCAGGGGCGAGAAAGACCCCCTGAGACGATCGATTAATCGCCTCCTTCCGAGTCTGACACCCGGGGAGGCTTGCTCGTCGGGAAGGGGTCTGTTCTTCTGCTCTGTCGGATCATCTGTACAAAGCTTTCTTATCTTAGTGGTCAAACATGGGGGAGGACTTGGTTTTCTTATATCCAACAAACCACTTCGGGCTCCATTTCCTTCTTATTTTTCTCTCGTCTTAATCCGGACCTTGGATAGGGGAACATCCAGGTACGAAGGTCAACAACCAAATGGGATCATAGATTTTTATTTTTCGCTTCGTTTTTTTTTCCGTTTCTTTCCCTTGAAATCGATGTTGGATTCCATAGGCACCACACCACATGGCAAGGATAGTTTAAAGGCGGAGAAAGGAAGAATAACAGTTGCAGATGTTGATGCTGTGGGACAGAACCTAAGATTTGAGGGCCGCCTGAGTTTACAGTGATCATGACCTTCGTTTTCTTTTCCGACGTGAACATATTAGCCAATTGCTAACTTGGATATGCTGTACTCCGTCCACAACTGAAAGGTGAGATGTACAGTCCTAGACCGATCTAGGAGAGTAGTCCGGGGAGGAAAGGTGTAAGTGTGAACGAGACTTTAGCTTGAGGATATTGGCTTTCGCTGTCGGGGCCATAATTCCTCAAATCACAGCTCCGAGTCCTCTCCATGAAGACTCCTGACATGGACGATATCTCAACATACTTCTATTAACTTCTTCTAATAAAATACAACGCAGTTTTCGGGTTAGAATTAATAATGAGTGAGTATGGACCTTATTAATAGTTATGATATTATTTCAAAAATTAAGCTGGATACTAGAGAGGTCGAGAAAGCTAACGAGTGCCGCAGTCCCAAGATCGAGACATCGAGGACATGATTCCTTTCTAGACTGGAATCCATCACTCAGGGCAGCTAGGAAGGTAGATCATGAGAGCAGGTAATAGGACTCAATTATAAAGGCAGCCGCAGCACCCGCAATGCTCCATCTCCCACGGCCTGCCACGCTTTCCCCGCTCCTCTCGTCGGGATCGCATTTCTCTTTCAGATTCTCATCGGGCCATTGTCTTCCCTTATCGCACCCGATCACACTGAGCATCTTCTCCGCCACCATGGCCCCCAAGTCCTCCTTCGGCTTAATCTAGCAAGGGTCAGGCTCGACGTCTTCGTCCTCCACCATCACGCAGCCTCCATCGTCGCTGACGGTTGATAGGCGAGCCGCATGCAGCGCCTCCGGACACTGATCTCCGACCGAGAAGTCCGGCAGTTCACCATCGTCGGAAAGATTGAAAGAAAAGGAATTTTTGATGGTGTAATACCCGGCACCCAGGATATCAGGTTTGGCGTTTGATGGAGGTATCGTGCAGTTTGCATAGATGTCAAAGCTCCAGATGAACTGAACAGCGTCCGTCTGGGTGGCGTTGACGACATTATGGACGGCGGTTGTGGCGTAAAAAGGATCTTGGTCTTCAGGCAGATTCCCCTTAGTTTGGGGTCGCGACGGCTCTTGACTCTCGTTAAGAGGTAGGTATCCTCCAGCAAAGAGGTCTTCGCCCATAAGCATCCAGCTGAAGGAAAACCCGAACGGCCATACGGCTACCGCATTTCGCACAACGTAGACGATAGGGAACGGATATATTTTCTTGTACATCCCTCCTGGACAGGGGAATATGATGTCTACTTCGACATCAACAGGATAGGTGGGTTCGCCGGCAGCACACCAGGCCGCCAAGAGCGGAATAGAGATCCAAGACCACCGCATCGGATATGGACGGGAAGAAGACGCGACAAAGGGACCTTAGAGGTAGGTAAAGAGTGACTCAATAAGCCAAGAGAGGGGGGTGGCGGCGAAATGAGTGGGAACAGGAATAAGCACCAACGTAGACATTGAATTGTGCCGTTTCTAGGAAGCATCAGAGGGCCATCCGGAACAAGTAGCTTAGGGTGCACATATTTTCTAGTGAGGAACCAACACCTTTTCTATTTATATTAAATGGCCATGATCTCTCTCTCTCCCCTTCTTTAGATTCTCTTGGTCAATCGGCCCGCGATATATAGCCATATTATGCGAAGCCACAGTGCAGGACGGGAGATAAAGGTGGAATCGCCTCAGCGCGTTCTTGAGACCTAGGCTAATCAAGAGAAGGCAATTATAAAGGGTTTATATACTACCCCAATTACCCAAGTGGCAGTAGCAGAAGAACTGAAAGCGGCAGATCTACCCTTGGGGGAGTTGCTCTGACATGGAACAAAAGGTCCATCGATCAGTCTACCCCATTCACATTTGTGCATTTGTCTGTCGCACAAGGCCTTGACGCCTGGGTTTAATCTTAAAGACAATATATTTATGGATGTGATGCGTCCGGCTCACCAACTGCGTCTCGCGAAATAAATGAAGGGCGGGCTCGGAGCGAAGGATTTTCCACATCCCGACCCTGAATGCTCTTGAGAGACTTCACCAGGCTCATCTCCTATGATATCTTTCTAGTAAGAGCGGCCTCAATACCAGTACTCCGTTTCAGATGTTACATACGAGATATTGACAAGAACTTGATGCCGGCTGCCTCCACCCTGACCCATATACGCGCGTGTATACTCAAGGCAGATTCCTAGCAGTTCTTGCGTGGTGGATGTCTCTGGACTCAGAACCCGGGCCTCAGTTCATGGACCGAACGCGCGACACGGAGACCTCTAGTGCTGTCTCCATATATCCGTATTTCCACCACTAACAACGAATGTTCAGCCGGGACGTGATAGGGCAAGATCTTGCGAAGAACCAACACACTTGCAGGCAAACATCTTAGGGAGGTTATTCTCAGCCCCCAAGCAGCGGGGATGAATAGGATGGGATATCAGTGAAGTTGGGGGAATGCGAGCACGCACTAGGGAGGCTGGGGACGTAGGAGACGCTCGAACACGCACTTGAGGATCAAAGATGCCCGTGAGTCTGTCTCGGCAGTGGATATCATGGAGGTCTATATAAAGGCAGGGCTGCTCAACCTGTTTCCTGTGGCCAGGAGTCTCACGGGCATAGTCAACGTTAGCAATTCTCTCGAAGTCCCCAGTCATGGCGGTCGACAACTTCGTTTCGCGGCTCTTTTATAGCACCCTCGACGAGTTCGAGGAGTTCAACGGAAACGGCCCCGATCTCTGTGGACCCAAACTCGGACAAGGGCAATGGGTCTGCTGCACCCCGGGAAATCTTCCCGACCATTCTCCCAAGCCCAACGCGGACGGGTCATGTGTAACCCATTTGCTCACGGCTGTCTCCGAATGCTGGAAAATCGCGAAGGAGTATGACACCACCGTCGAGAAGCTGATTGAATGCAATAAAGGGACGACCTGGGGCTGGGCCGACTGCGACCATCTCTTCCCGGACACTCTTATCTGCGTTGGCCCCGGCGATCCTCCTCTCCCGGTACCAAACGACGAGGTCGCGTGTGGGCCGCGGAAGCTCGGTACGGAAATGCCTCCCAAGGGAACGGACCTGGCTTCTCTCAACCCATGCCCTCTCAATGCCTGTTGCAATGGTTGGGGATTTTGCGGAACTACGGCGGATTTCTCTACGCCTCCCAAGGGAGAGCCCATTACGGCCGCCAACTCGGACAATTGCATCTCCAACTGCGGATCAGGCATTCTCACCAGCCTCACGCCACCGGCTCAGTTCATGAGTATTGGGTATTTCGAAGCCTGGAACGCTGAGCGTCCGTGCCCATGGATGGACGTTGACAACATTAAGAAAGATCATTACACTCACATCCATTATGCGTTCGGTCGCGTCACGCCGGGAGACTACACAGTGGACATCAGCGCCACACAGGGCTAGTTCGACAAGTTCGTCCAGATGACCGGCGTCAAGCGAGTCATTTCATTTGGCGGCTGGACGGATTCCACTTCAGGGGGCAGATCCTTCATTCTCCGCGGGGCTATAAGCACCGGACGCGAACAGTTCGCCAGAAACGTCGTCGACTTTATCATCCAGCATGACCTTGACGGCCTTGACATTGATTGGGAGTACCCCGGTGCAAAGGACATCGACGGAATTGTCCCCGACGCGTCGGATGGAGAGAACTACCTGGAGACGCTCAAGCTAATCCGGAGTATGCTCCCTTCGGGCAAGACGCTGGCCATCGCCACACCTGCATCGTTTTGGTACCTCCAAGGCTTCCCTATTGCGGAAATGGCCACATATCTGGATTACATCGTGTACATGACATACGATCTTCACGGCCAGTGGGACTGGGGCAAGAAATACGGCCAGATATCGTGCCCGACAGGAGACTGTCTGCTCTCCCATGTCAATTACACGGAAACCGAGAACGCACTATCGATGATCACCAAAGCTGGAGTCCCATCCAACAAGATCATCGTTGGGGTGACCAGCTACGGACGGTCATTCCGCATGGTCGAACCAGGCTGCACAGGCCCGGAATGCAAGTACATGGGTCCTGAGTCGGGCGCGAAAAAAGGGCTCTGTACCGGTACACCAGGGTATCTATCTGATGCAGAGATCAATCAGATTATCCAGGACGGCACTAGCACCCCGTGGAAGGTTGAAGGAGAAGATGCCGCCTCTAGCCTCCGGCGTAGAGAGGGTGTGCAGGTCTTCTACGACCACAAGAGCCAGTCCAACGTCCTTGTATACGATGACGTCGAGTGGGTGGCATATATGAACAGAAGCAACAAGGAAGCACGCAAGTCCGCGTACCAAGCGCTCAACTTCGGCGGTATCACAGACTGGGCCGTGGATTTGCAGGAGTTTTCTCCGAACGAGTATATCACCCCTTTCGTGATGAAGCAGTTGGCGGAAGGTGAGGAATGCAAATGGAGGTGGCTCGAGGGTGTCGACTGCCTGAACGAAGGAATACGGAATGCCTCCTCTCCGAAGAAATGGCAATGGCATGAAGCTGCCACCGACTGCGCTTGGCGTTTCGTGAAGACCGAGTGGAGCAAGCAAAAGGGCAATGAATCCGGCGAAGTATTTTCACTCTTTGTGTCGAAAAAATTGAACGGTCCACGAAACTTCAACTGCCAAGAAATGAGTATCAATGGGTGCTCTGGTAGCACTCCTCTCTGCACCGTCTTCCAGACTATCGAGAGCGGCCCTGCTGCCATGTTTATCATCAGCTCTTTCATGAAACTCCACGAGGTAAGATGAGAAAAACTGTGGCGTCCGTTCAACAAAACTGAGTTTTAATCGACTAGGCAATGCTGATGGGATCGAACTACTTAGATCCTCCTTACCTTCTACGACGGCGTGGGGAGCGCTGCCCTATCCTTCATTACAGATATCGATGAATTTATGGCGGTCTTCTCACCAGATCCACCCGAGCAGAGAAATGATATGAATATCTTTATTGACATTCTGGGTATTGCCTTCACTTTTCTAGGTGTTGGCGTATTTAAGAGTAAGTCTATTTGGAGATACCTTCCCTCTCCCAGCTCTGTCTATTCCACACAAAAGTACACTTACTGACCCCGATTCTTTGGTATGAGCAGCTCTTGGGACTGAAGGCAACAAAAAAGATCTAATGTGGAATTTACTGGCATTGGGTGGTAGTCTTATCAAGGACATTCCGAGCAAGTAAGCCTCTTCACCATCGCCGTGGGGGAACAATCTCCACGCTCCGTTCCATGTTTGACTTTTGGCACTGATATAGTCACCCTGCAGCGATAAAAAGATTGACCGGAAGGCAATCATTTCAATTGGCTTACACTATTTGCAAGATGGACTCAAGGATGGCGTTTCCGAGTTTTCTCTGTACTTGCTCAGCGGTCGAGCGGAGGCCCTCCCCGTGCTGGACAATCTCCTCTCTGACGGCAAGTTCATCACCGGGGAGGAGTCCAGCGCAGAGGACTGGTCAAAGAAAACGATGGAAAATAACAACATGCGACTCCTGTATGCTTGGCTGATCCCGAGTGCCTGGAGCCTTGCGCAGAGGAGCCCCGTGGTCATCGAAGCCGGCGACTGTTCCCGGGGGACGGGAGAGTACGAGTGGATCACTAGCTCCACGGCCGAGGAGACGGGAGGATGCATCGATGGCCGGCAATATTTCCTCGTCACAACCGCTGTTGAATGGGAATCTGAGACTCCAAATTGCTTCTGTGCATCACCGTTGCATGGGAGGACCACCACTATGCTGGACACCGGGGAGCAATAACTACTTCCTCACGCCCCCTGGGAACGATAGGCTCCGGCGTGAAGGGGGATCAAAAGGGCTCACTCAAGCAGAATTGCTCGAAGGGTAAACTTGACCTGTCTCTTTTTTTTTTTTTTTTTTTTTTTTTTTTTTTTGCCTTGAACACTTTCCTGCGCCTGGCCGTCTTCCAACTCGCTAACGCCCAATTTCTTCCTGTTTTTAGGGCTGTAAATACATGCAAGTATTTGGGTAAGAAAAACGACCAACAGCCCGTCACAGTAAACCGGGAGTTATTGGACAAGATGTTCGACGAAACCTCGAACGACATAAAAATCACCGCCCCGGGTCTCGTTCATATCCCTGTGTGTAGTGCTGAAGAGGCACGCGAGAATTGGAAAAAAGGGACGAATCGAACAGCGTGGCACTTTCCATGTAACGCGCCATCATAAAAAAGACTGAAGGGGCAGTAGGACGGAGCTAAACCAGATCCATGGACGTCGAAGGCGCTACTGACATTTTGATATGTTGTAGGACAGCGTGGTTCGATGTTGCTCAAACAGTCTCTGGCGTACCTTGGTATATATATATTCATCCCTAAAACATCAAGACTATCCCTCTCGTGAAAATGGTGGCTCATGCAAGAGTGATTGGGCCAAAGAAGGCGCGGTAGAGGAGCTTGATTTTTCTGGCGACCTGGTCTGAGTGATGGGTTGAAGTTCAGAAAGGGACCAAGCTCTCGATCTTGGAATTGTGGCTTCCATTGCTTATGGGCCGTTAAACATTGAACACGGGCTTCTTGGCGATATTTTGTTAGGGCTGGCAGTTTTTGGAGATTTTGTTTTATTTTATTTCATATTAAAGTTTGTTTCAAGACGATTCCCTCAAAGTAAACCAGGTCTTTGGAGAAAAAGCCACCAAACTGCCCCAGTTTCATCAACTGAATCGAACCTCAGTGAGGCTTCTTCAGTCCTTGTCTGAGGCGGTGCAAAGAACCAGGTCTACAATCCTTCAGGGATCCTGAGCCTCCCCCTTCAGACGAGCCGAAGGAAGAACTGCCAAGCCAACAAGAAGCAAACTTGATCCCCTCCAATTTCTAGGACTTCTCCCTTCCAGGATTGGTCCGGAACAGGCGTCAATGCTGGTGCCTGGCCCATGTGGTCCATGTCCCAGTCTCCCCTCAGCCGCACGCCACTAACCCCAAACCGACGGATGGCTTGACTCCTCTCCTCCCTGGTTGGTTGGGTTGGTTGAAGGAACCAGCCCTAAGGCCGCTTTTGAGATGGAACGATTCCGTCGACACCCTTTTGATTGCCAAGGTCGAGCCAAGCAAGGAGTCCGATCCCAGCCAACCGATCCCAGCCGGGTTCGGCGTAGGGTCTGACAGCCAGGGATCCTTCCATCCTGCCTGACACGCGCTCTGTGGGCCTCTTTTTGTTGGTTCCCTCGTCTTTTTTGTTTTCCCGTTGGCGCCTCTGGAATGGTTTTTCTTGGCTGGTTTGTGGCTGTGGCAGGTCGAGCCTGCTTATACATTAGAACAACGAATGTCCCAAACAGGCACGTACTGCGAGCGATCCTACTTCGCGCTTTACTTCGAAGTGTCTCAGTCTGCCTGGTTCGGTCAAGGGCGGAACTAGCCTGCCGCGCCTAGATGAGACCCTTGGCCTGGTGGAGAATGCCACAAGGATGCCACGACGTAGTGTAAGAAGCAATGGCGCGATGGGGGTGGAAGGATGGGGATCATGGCTGGTTCATTGTCCCCTAAAGGTGGATTCGACTCGTGAGAGAGATGAAGATCAGTGTGGCTTAAATCGCTCCGCAGGGAAATTCGTTGTCTCTCTCCACAATTGGCGTCGTGTTTTCGGGTTTCCTAGGCGCCGTGAAGCCGCCAGGACATGTTCGATGAACCCATTGATTTCCTCTCTTACGATACCCATGTCCGAATTTAGTAAACGTGCACAGAAACCCCCCATCCATAGCCTTGCCCAGGAAGTAGTGCTGGTAATAGTTGCTTGCACGTCCTTCATTTTGTTCTGATCCTAGCCAAACGCTTATGCGTTCCCTTCCCATGCTGGAATGAGAATTCCTAACCTTGAACATTTCCTGACTCTGTCCGAGATGCAGTCGACAGCGACATACTCTTAACACTACTCTATACCTTTGATTTTATCGTGGCTTGTTCTGTTTCCTCTCTTCCCTTTCAGCCACTCCTTTGACACCCCTGGCCGACCCTCCAGCCTGTGCTACTTCCTAATCTCCAACGCCATCTTATCACCACTTCCATCATGGGTCGTCATCGAGCCCACGCGCGATTCGACCGCGCCGAGTGGCGCCTCAGATATCTAGTCCCCCTCTGGATCCTCCAAATTCTTCTCTCTATTGCCATATTAGCCCTCTTCGCTACGAGATTACGTTCCACACTAGAAGCATGGAAGCAAGGCGGAGGTGAGGGGGGATTTCCTCTTTTCGTCGTCATGTAAGCGCCTCTCTTGCCCTCCTCTCTTGTCGCAGTTGTTGTTGGCGACCTTGCCAACATATCTCTTTCTCGACTGTTGTTGTTCTTGTTTGCTAACATAGCTCGCTTCCTCAAAAGTTGGGAATGCTCAAACCTCGCCCTGGGAGTCGTCGCACCCTGTCTTGCAGGCTACGAGATCTTTAGATTCGTCCAAGAAACCTTAACACCCCGAACTGTGCTCACCACCCAATTCATCACCTTCGGCGTCGCAGCCGCGGCCCTCACCCTCAGTGTCTTCGTCCACACACAACGGCGCGTACCTGGTAAGGACTCTGTCATCGGGCTCATCCTCAGCTCGGTCGCCGTGTAAGTCTCTATCTCTATCACTGCTTATTCTTCCCATTTTCTTTTCTCTTCAAGCTAACCAGACGTCCAAAATCAACAGCGCCGCCTCTCTCATCCCCGCCCTCTACGCCCTCCGTAACCACCGCCGTCTCGCCTCCTACGACGAACTCACCTACCCCACCAACACCAAACCCTACGGCTTCTTCGCCGACCCCGAAAGCCAGCAACACCTCGACCGTTCCTCCCGCGCCTCCATCATCAGCACCCTCTCGGGCGAAAATATCCCCTCCGCGCGACGCATCTCCTCCGCCTCTTCCATCCTCAGTATCCGCCGGCTACCCTCCGCCGCGACGAATCCTCCCTCCCTTGCACCACCCACCGTGACCACGACGATCTCGGTAAGGTCCTCGCCCGCGGGGGCACCAGCACCACTGGTACCATCAGCATGCGAGACCGTGCCGCTGCAAGATCTAAATAGGCATCATTCGGTATACAACCACGAGAGGGATACGCAGTTCGACGAGTACGTCTCGGCGCGGAATTCGCAGCTCTCGTTCCGCGAGCATGTGGATCAGGCGTTCGGGGCCGAGCTGGGGTGGAATTTGGGGGCTTCTCCTTCTGCGCTCGCGGAGGGTTTGAATAGGAAGGGGAGCGTAGTGAGTTCGGGCACGTTGGGGTCGGGCGGTGTTACGGTTGCTAGGGTGCCAAGCGGCACTGCGCATTCACTGGGCGCGGTGCCTGAGGAGGTCGAAGAGAGGGGGGGCGATGTGAGGAGAGGGGATGAGGATAGGGCGAGGGAGGCGTTGTTGGAGGATGGGAGGCATTAGAGAGGTGATACAATGTGATGCGGCGTCATGATGATTTTCCTCACTTTTTCTCCTCTTTTCCTTTTTCGATCTGGAGAAATCGGAGGGTTTGATCTTGGAGTTGTGTTTGGGAGGTTGCGGTTCTAGTACTTCGTAGGCGTTGCTGTCTTGGTTTTGGGCGTATTTTAGACGATATACCATTTTATTTTATTCTATTTTTCAAATTCGTTTTCGAGATTTGTTTTCTCCATTCTCATTCTCCTCAATTTCGAAAGCATCAAGGCAGCATCTCATTGCATCTCCCTGGCTTGGCACCCTTGTTCGTGCGACCCTTGCTACCTAGTTTAGCCTCCGCCTCGCCGACTCCCGGTGAGTCAACCGGAGGATTTCGACGAATCTGGGAAGGTGAACATGATCATTGTGTTCGGGAAGCAGCCATGTCGCCGATGAGATTGAGATGCATGGAATCGGTTGGATATAGTTGGATTTTTAGAGATGCAGGCAGATAGCGAACATGTTGAGAAGTTGAGGTTTTCAGAGAGTTTATTGAGAAGCCACTGAGTTATATAAAATCTTAGTTCAATTTCACCGAATTGATCCAATTTGTGTGCCCTGCACTCACGCAACATCTCATCTCAACTTAATTCACCTCATCTCATCTCATCATCATAAATCCCCAGAACATCAAACATGTCCTCGCATTACTTCCCCGACGCCATCTCGGCCAGAAACTACGACACCTTCCGAGACTGTCTCGCTCCAGCCATCCTTCTCCGTCTCACCACCCCGGCCGCCAAACCGCGCCGTCGTCAACGCCGCCAACGTAACAAAACCACCTCCGCATCGGTATCGGCATTGGTCTCGGAAACACCGAGCACGGACACGGACCCGGCGCAGTCCGTCGCCCCCACCCCGGACACCCCCTCCGACGATGCCTCCACCGCCAGCCAAGACCTCTCCGAATTCATCGACTACATTGCCCACTCAACCTTCACTTCCCTCCCGGATTCCCTCCAAACCCTAACCTACTACATCTGGACCTCCTCCTCCCTCGAGGACAAATACCCAAGCCCCCTCACTGGCCAATGGATCGCCGACAACCTCCTCCCCAGTCTCGACCCAAGCATCGAAGCATCCCTCTCCACGTACGGGATAACCACAACGACGCAGACCCCGCAAGAATTCCTCGCCCCCGTGCTGACGAATTACTTCTCCGCCATCGCCACTCCGCCGCCGCCGCCGAGATCGACGAAAGCAGACGCCCAGGGTTGCGAGATTTGCGGTCGGGATTGGATCAACCTGTCGTATCACCACTTGATACCGCGGATGGTGCATGACAAGGTCGTCAAGAGGGGGTGGCATAAGAAGGAGGATTTGGAGAATGTCGCCTGGCTTTGTGGCGCTTGTCATCGGTTTGTGCATTCGTTTGCTGGGCATGAGGAGTTGGCGAGGGAGTACTTTACGGTGGAGAGATTGTTGGCTGAGGAGAAGGTTCAGGAGTGGGCTGCTTGGGTTGGGAGATTGAGATGGAAGAAGAGATGAGAGTAGTTCTGGAATGAAGATGGGCGGACTTTTCAGATAAAGTAGACTCGCTACATTGCTTAAGATAAATTCACGGATGGTCTGGTCATTTTAGTCGGTCAGTACCAAGGTAGATCAATGGCTGTATTTGCATTTCGCATCATATGGAGCGTTAAAAAAGCCCTCATTTCATGAATATAAAGCAGAATCTCAATGGCAGGAAGTCGACACATTCCGGCTCTCTCCATCAATTTTCAACCTCGACACTCTCCATCTCGAGTCATCCATTACAAGAGATCCAAAAGGCCAGTGGCAGCATCACTGGCGTTGGTGCCGAAATAGTTCGGGACGGTCTAGGCGGAAGAAAGCGAAACCCGTTAGCATAATCCAGACTTGGTAGAGAAGTAGAGAGAAGTAGAGAGAAATAAAACTCACCTGGAGATAGAGAACTCCATCCTCAATCACGCACTCGTTATAATTGGACTTCTCCAACTTATCCACCACCCTGAACGCAATCTCCCCCTTCTCAACCACCTCATTGAATCCCTCCTGCAACATGTCATCCCCATCAAACTTCTGATACTTCAACTGGCTCACGAGCCCCTCGAAGTAGTACTTCAAGAACGATCCCAAGTTCGAATCCCAATCATCCCTATCCATCTTGCTGCTCTTCAACTTATCAAACACGGCCACCCAGTTAGGGTTCAGCTTCAAGTTCTCATTGTTGAGAATCGTCTGCACCTCCTTCGTCAACTTCTCGATCTCGGGCTCGACCTCGCGGATACCCTTCCGCGCGAAGAAGTTCAGCGTGGCGTCCTCGGCCTGCTCCGCCTTGTTGAGCGCCTTTTCGAAGGTGTAGTAGCCCACGGCGTCGCTGATGTTGGTGCCCAGATAGGTCTCGGAGAACAGGATGCGGAGCTTGCCGTCTGTGATGTCGCAGCCGCAGTAGGTGTTGGCGCCGGCTTCGTCGAAGTCCATGGTGATGGCGTGGGCGGGGATGAGGGTGTTGATTTCGGAGACGCCTTGCTCGCCGTGCTTGTTGGCGAAGTCCTTCAGGTAGTCAATGGCGCTGGAGAAGTACCTGTGGGGAAGGGATGTTTAGTATTATTTATGATTCGAGTGGTGCTTCGTATATGCAAATTTAAAAAGAAGAGAACGAAAGGTAAATCTCACTGGTGGAGGACGCTGCCGATAGAGTTCTTGCCCCAGTCACTGGTAGCATAAGGGTAGATGGCCAAGGGATCGGCCTCTATGGTCCACTCAGTTCCGAGGGCTTCACTGAGGTTTTTCTCCAGGTCTGCCTTCTTGGCATCCCACTCGTCCCGAACTACATCAAGAGTCAGCATACGGATGGTCTTTAAGGAGGATAGCCTCGTCTTCGAGTCAGGCTTCGGAACTTACTGTTCTTTCGGACGGCGAGGGGGAGCTTCTCGGCGGGAGGAAGACGGGTAGGCATTTTGGGATTGTATTGAAGGGGAAACAAAAAAAAAATAGAAGCTCAAACTTTTTGAGTGAAAGAGAATTGGAGATGAGTAAAAGTTAAGATGGTGAAATTGAGATGAGTGGAATGTGTCTGATTTCTCATCTCTAACTCTGCTGCGGAAAGCTCCCCATCTTATAGACAAGCTCCATCAAGGTAGAAACCAGCCCATCTCGACATACCCATTCCTCCTCTCCACCGCTCATTCCTCTCCCAAGATCCCCATCCATGAGGAACTCCCCTAGCTCCCCCCTTTCCCCCCTTCGACCCTAGTTCTTTTCGTCCGATCCTTCCGTCACATCCCATCACCAGTGCCTGCCTCGGACCTCGTACTTCGCGCGCTACATCAAGGATGGCGGAGCTAACAAAACCCCGCTCCGCTTGCAAGCACCTTCGTGCCTTCGTGTGAAATCGACCTCAACCTCCCACATGGCCATCCCTCGCGAAACGCCCGGCCCTAACTAAAATCGGCTCACAATCCAGGGACCCAAACACGCCTCTTCATGCAGGAGTCCTAAAGTCCTAAAACGAAATTGGGGAGGCCGGAGGGGTTCCTAGCAAATCCAAAGTGTAGAAAGTGTGGAGATGGACGTTTAAACACCAGGCAAACTGCAAATCTTCCCCTCATCCTATCTTCATCGGAAGATGGTGCCTGGCCCTAGTGTTGGCCTTTAAGGCTTGGCGCGGACCTTTTTTTGGTTCGAAGAAGATGTGGAGAGAAACAGCACAAACCACGCAGACCCTCGATTGGACGAGGACGAACACCTTTCCGCCCTGCGTTAGCATGGGGTCCAACACGGAGTTCAACATGTTTCCGGGCCCCGCTCATTTGTTCAGCCCTTCTGGGCTAGCAAAAGGGTCCGGGGATGGGTTTGACTTCGTATGACGCACGCGGTGAGCAGATTCCACCCCCTTGCTCCAGGGGTGAACCCCTCAAAGACCCTAGGCTAGTCGAGTTTGGCTAGGCGCTAAGCGCAAGTAGGCGTGAGGCAGTGACATGCTGCAGCATCCGGGTGTTGGGAGCTCGGCTTGGGGCTGAGCGGCACCCTTGGAGCTTGGCGCGGCGGGGAGGGGGAATTATTAGGCAGGCAGGCAGGCAGGGGGGGAGCTCAAGCTCGAGAGGATGGAGGTGAAGGAGGCGGAAACTATCCGTACTTTCTTATCAATTACAACTTGATGGTTTTCTCCCTGCCGACAAAGGTGGAAGAGGAAAGCAAACACATTCAACTGAGACGAACCCGAGTCTAGACTCGCCGAAATATCTCATCATTGCAGTCTGGGCATCATTCCCTTCCCAACAAACTCTCTCTCAATTCCCCCGCCTTCAAGCTCTCATCATAATGGCCACGCTGTAAGTTCCCCAACTCCGAGCCCGGAAACTCCGGCCATATCTTCCTCACGCCATCTTCTCATCCTTTCAACAGTACGCTCAAAGTAAAAGTCGCCGTGCGCGACCACTGGGACAGCCCTGAAAGCACCGTGCAAGCCTCCCTCGCCAAACTCCAGTCCATCATCGGCTACGAGGTCTGCATCAGTCCGGAATGGCCCCTCCTCCTCGCCGCCCTAGGAGACCACTACAGCGACAAGGGCAACTTCGTGCCGGCCGTTGCTGGTGTCGTCAAGGCCTGGAGCGAGGCGGCCGCGCAGCTTCTCGAGGATGATAACAATGAGGAGTGGACGGAGGAGGTGCTCGATAAGCTCAAGGAATCGGGCTCGAGACTGAGATTGGTCCTGGAGGTGAGTTTCACGAGGGGCTCAGTCATGCATGGGAGAGTGTTTGCGCATGTTAATCTTTTCTAGGCTTCCAAATCAGAAGATGCCTCGACCACCTGGAATCCCGTCCAGGAAGCCTTCGTCATCTCCCTCCCCAACACCCAAGTCACCAACCCTCTCTCCTACATTAGCCCCTTCCAAGCCCACCTCCTCACCGCCTTCGACGAGAAAAAGGCGGCACCCACGGTCCCTGTCCTGCATGACTCTGGCCACTCAGATATCCCTGGTGGCCCCGGCGATGACTGGGCCTCCATAGTGGTCGAGCCCGTCGTCAAGACCTCTATCAATCCAACCCCCTCGTCACAGCGACGAGCACCCAACGTGGAGTACATCCCAGACATCAATTCCGTCCCTCGCCCCGATGAACTCCTCCTTCGACCTCCCTATCACCTCATCGTTTTCGCTCGCAGCCTCAATGAGATCGAGATCCAGTGCAGTCACAGTCCAACTCTGAAATTCCTCTCAGCTTATCTGGCAAAATGGTGCCGTACCAATCACCAGCTGCACAACAAGGTGGGTTATCCCTCGCATTCTGTCTTTACGCCTTCTCCCGCTTCCATATGTGCCCCTCCCTCATAATTCATCCTCACCGTGCCTACTTTTCAAAGCTCCCGCTCCCCTTAACGCACTTCTTCGATTCCCTTGTTCAAAAAGTACCGAGCGTGCTAACATCCTCACAGCCCCCATCTGTGGAATCCAATCTTCACCAGTCCGCCTACGGCCTCGGGACGTGGCATGACCGCCTCACGCTCTATGCCGAGAATCGCTACAGCGGCGGTCATTGCATCACCCCGCCAATTATCCTTTCGCTTGTCGAGAGTCTGCTGGGTTATGAATTGACGTACCAAGAGAGCTCGCGCTGGGTGTACCGGAAAGACACCCCGTTCAAGAATCTGTAGATGAATAGGAATGGGAAACTGGCCACTCAGTGAAAAGCAAGAAATGATTGCGGGGAGAAAGTGATGTGTAAAGTTGATGTGTCTATTAGCAAGAAGAGAAGAAAAGATGAATATACGGAAGCTGCACACACGCCAACACGCCAATTCCACACTCGACATATCTGAAAAGACAAAATAACAAGTCCGCTCGAGAACACACCAAGCAAAGGGATATAATGCGTGCCTCATACAATTACACAAACCGCCGGAGCCCAATTCCTTTCCCCATTTTATCCTCCTCCCCCGGCCCAGTAAAACAAGAAAAAAAGGTAGGGAAAAAAAAATGCAGTGAAACAAAACTCACGCTTCAACCATCTCATCGAAATCATGAACAGAAGTTTACTCGGATTTTCACGCGGAGCAGGCAGCCTGCTAGTGTTGTCGTCACCTCCGCCCTCTTGGTGGAATCGGTGGGGTATCCTCACCAGTCGTTGGCGGTGGCGGTGAGACCAGGGGACTCTCCTCACTTATACTGGATGCAGTGGTTCCCTTCATGAGCATGGGTGAGACCCCCACCTCCGACCTCTCCCCAACCATAGTGTCGGTCTCAGACCGCACGCTCATACTCAATTTTCTTCTCCTCTCGATATCCTGCTCTCTTTGCTTCTCTTTCTCCTTCTCTTCTTGCTCTTGCTTCTCCCTCTGAGCAAGTAGCTCGCCATAGGTTGACTTAAACTCATGGAAACCTTGCATCGAGGAAACGTGGGGCGTTGGCGGCAGCACGGGGGCCCTAGAGTCGCGAACAGTGGCTGCAAGCTCCTCGTTACGTTTCTTGAGAGCCTGAATGTGGCGAAGTAGGAAGAGAATGGCGCCAAGGGCAATGAGCATGACAAAGAGTATAGATGCAGCCATGGCAATCCAAACGTAGGATGGAATCATCTTCTGGACGCGAACAGACTCGGCAGTCGCTGTTACCGTAGTCATCTGGGACGGGTCTGTGATAGAGGCTGCCAGTGATACGTTAAAGGCGCTGGGAGTGCCACAGCAAGTGTCGTTGTCTTGACCGCAGCAGAAGGTGCCGTCGCTGCATGATGTAAGAGTGGCAGATCCATTGAATGAGCCGTTCTAAGAATCTGTCAGCTATGCGACTCTCCTTCATGATATTTCAATTGCATCAAGGTTCGGACGCGTACCTCGTCGTCATCGATGCAAAAGTTCAAACACGCAGGATCGCTCCACGAGGAATCAGTACAGAACCCTCGTCTCACTATATCCCCCTGAACGCAGAGCCCTCTAGCGTCGCACAGCTCCTTCGTTTCCGGAACAGCGTTGAGGCGGCAGCAACTTGAAAACATGCCCGGGTCTGTTAACACGCCGAGATTGTTGCATGGCCGATAGCTGTCGTCGGCCAGAGTGACTCCGTCGGGGGCATAGCAGGGAACCTCTGGCCTCAGTGGGGCGGCGTCCTGGGCGAGTGTGGAGGGGGCAGTAGAGAGGAGGATGAGGATGGATATCGGCGGCAGAAACGGTGGCAACATCGTGTATGGATTCTCTCGAATATTGATGTCTTTGTTCTAAGTGTTTCGATGGTATTATGGCCTCGGGCCCGGTATTGCGGCTCTAGAGATAGACTGAAGGGGAAGGAAATGATATAACGAATGTGTTACTCGGACAAATGAAAGACATCACCACAACTGATGCATACCAGTGATGAGCAGGCGGAAGAGAAAAGGATGTAGAGTTCTCACTCGGATGACATCTTCAAAAGCTGGAGAGATAAGAGAGATCAAATGATGTATCACGGAGAGATTGTTGGGGAGAAAAGAAAAGAGGCAGAGAAGGAGAGAAGGAGAGACCAGAAGAGCGGAGAAGAAACAACAAGTGGGCGCTGCCTTCCATATCTTTACTATGAGTAGAGGTCACCCTCACTTACACCTTCCCAGCCTTTTTCTTCATTTCTTCATTTCTTCATTTCTTCATTTCTTCATTCGTCTGCCGCCCCTTCCCTCCCTTCGCCTCACACCTTCTCCGCCTCATCCCCCTCGTCTCCCCCCTTCCGCATCCTCTTCATCCGTCCACCGTACGCCAACTACAGCCCTCGCCTTCCAAACACCAATTGACATTTCCCCGCCCCAGACGAGATGAGGCTGAATTCAATTAACGTTTTAGTTTCATCTGAACAAAACTCATCCATGCCGGCGATCACTGGAGAGTCGAGAGCGCCGACCTGTGGCACAGGGGATCACGATGGTCCTGGCGCCAACCGTTGACCTGACGCATGAAATGATCTCCGTGACCCATGGTTGTGAGACGCGAACATGTCCGGCTTCAGATAGGTCGAACGCAGCGGAGCCTGCGGGTACGAAACGGTAGCGAATGATGCTACGACATTGGCTGAATTAGAGGTGAAAATGCTTGAGATCTCCGGGATTTTCAGAGCGCCAGTATTACTTTGCCATCACTGTTTCTGTTCTTGTGCGGAGAATTTTTATCGTCTATATTTCCTCACTACTACACTGCTCAATTGATAAAAAGAAGAAGAAAAAAAAATGAGAACGAATCCTGGCTAATTCTTGGTTTTTGTTAGCTGAAAGAGTACGGAGACTTCTCCCGTCGAAAAGATCAATGGATGAAACTCCAAGATCCGGAAGTGGGAATCCACAAAAAGCCTCCGAACGGATCGTCCGGTAGGTGTGGACGAAACCGACCGCTCTTGGCTCGTCATTTCTGGTGACACCCTCTCGTCTTCGATAAACAGTAGCGAGATCCCGATTGAGTGGTTGTATAAAGCAAGATGGTGCAGAATTCCAGTCTCTACCCGACTTAGAAATTGCTCAAGTCCCTGCGAGAACTTAAGCGTAATTTCGATGGGTGTATTAGCATGTCAACGGAGATGAAGCATTTCCTTCGCTTCAAGACGAGAAACTCGAGGAGATGGAAAGGTGATCAAGCGTTGAAACCGACTGTTTTGCAGCCTGTGCGTTCCGTTCTCCACCATGGCCTTTCGATAAGGAAGAATCGTGAGTTGCGGACCGCTCCAGGCCAAAATCTGGCTCGTGCTGCAAAGGAGGAAAAAAGCCAACCTCAACATCAGGCGAGTTCAGTGGGACGACCAGAGAGGGGCCACCCACCTGATACAAATTATAGGCATTGATGGTCTAGCCCATATTCTTACCTCTACTCCTACCGGTATTAAGACTCTTCAACGTGATCATCCTTGGCTTTCGCCGGGCCTACATCATTCTCTATCATCTAAAGCAGCGGGAACGCATCCCCACGCCGTTGAGCTACTGATATCCATTCGGATCTGCGGATTTCTCTCAAGCCTGAATTCTCAGAGGCAGTCTGGCGAAGAACCTATTGACCTTCATTAAAGAGACCATGGAGGAAAGCTGCTAGATCCTGGGCTAGATGGTCTCTCGGGTGGTTTTCTATTCTTCATTGCTGGCCAAGCTTGATTTATGGGTTTCCAAATTGATGTCCGTCATTGAACAACACCACAGTATCATCACCTTCCTTCATAGCACAGCTAACCGCCCTCGTGTTCGATTGGAAGGACACTGCCACTCTGACAGCTAAAACAGGAAGTATTTGATCTGAGAAAGGAAATAAAGGAACTAGAAGTCGGGATAAAAATAATGAAAAGAGAAAAAATAAATACGGAGAGAAGACCGGACGTCTTATAGCCACCGCCGCTCGCTTCAAGTCAATTAACAATGGCCAGGCACGGAGCAACTTGACTCTGTTTAACCCGCCAACCTAGTGTTGTATTTTCCTGTGTGCGACTTTATCTTTCTTTTCTCTCTCTCCAGGCCTCCTAATACCAGGATATCTCAAGCACAGTGAACATGCTCTCCATGCATCGCGTCTCGTTGATTGTAATGTGTCTCTTTATTCTCCGCTCTCACTTACACAAGCCACCTTCTTGATATGAGCTAAAGGCCTCCGTCAACCCCCCAAACCCCTTTCCTCCTAGAGCTCTTTTATTGTCCCCTTTCTAGAAGCTCTGCATAGCCTTCTCCCGACTCGCCAAGACCCTCTTCACAATCGCCGTACCCGCCGCCCCCTCAAACCCATGCGGCAAACCGGGCCACAAATGAAACTCCACCTCAACATCCTCCTTTACCATCCTCGCCACATACTCCACATTCTCATCCCTAAATAGATCCAAAGTCCCGATATCGATATAGGTCGGCGGCAACCCCCGTAAACTCTCCGCCCTCGCCGGCGCCGCATACGCCGACACCTCCGCCTCGGGCTTCCCAGCTTTCTCGCCGAGTAACGCCTTCCACGAAAGCACGTTCTCGTGAAGTTGCCACGTCAAGAACTTATGCAGATCCTCGCCCTCGTCGAGGTGCGTCCTGTCGTCGAGCATCGGGTAGATGAGAATCTGCTTCGCCAACGCGGGGCTCAGACCTCTATCCCGCGCCAAAAGCGCCGTCCCCGCCGCGATGCAACCGCCCCCGGAATCCCCCATGACAGCAATGCGCTTCGGATCGACGTTCAACTCGGCCGCATGCTCGCTCACATACTTCAACGCCGCAAACCCATCCTCCACACCACACGGCGCCGGATTCTCAGGCGCAAGTCTATAATCCACACCGAAGAACGTGACACCGCTCGCCTTCGCGTGCCGTGCAAGAGCGGGGCCGAAGATCTCCACGGAGCAAGAAACCATTCCCCCGCCGTGGAAGTAGACGATGGCGGGTTGCGGTTCGGGACGCGAGAGGACCTCGGACTCCGTGAAGCGTACTACCTCGATGGAGGCGCCGTCGAAGGAAGGGACGGTAAACTTCTCCTGTTGGACGGTTTCCGGGGTGGGTGCGAGGCGGAAGAGGGTGTGCAGGAGTTGTTCATTGTAGTTACGGAGGTCGAAGACGTTGGTGAAGATGGGTTTGGGCGTGCCTTGCGCCTGGGCGACGGCGAGGACACCGGCGAATTCGGGGTCGTAGCGGAGTCCGCCCATGGTGACGACTTTCTTATTTTCTGATGAATCTTTTCAGTAATTGTGGATTACAGGCAAGAATGGTAAAATGAGTGAGAAGTCTACGGGATCTACTCCTTTATCCATCGAGAATCAAGAGGGTCGAGTGAGGGATGGTGCTCTCCCTATATAGCCATTTCCAAACTCCCCTGCCGCTTCCGGCCCCCAATCCCTCTTATATTGCTCGTGTGGTCGAGGCTCGAGCTAAAGCGGACTAAGCGGACCACGATCCCGTCCGAATGTCCGCTACCGGGAAGGAACACAGACAGCTCCGGAAGTCTGGCCCCAAACACTTTTACCAGTACCCCGCACCCATCATTCAGGCAAACTGCTCTTCCCGCCCCCTGCATTTGATTGCTCTCTCCCAATGCGATGCTGGACTTGGGCTTCCCGCTTGAGTCCGCCACCGCTGTTTGATGGCTGGCGGCGTCCGAAGCCAGCGAGTTGAGGGCTTCCTTTCCCCAACTCCCTCTTTACTAATGCATGATACGTTGCTGCGTTGCTCCCCTGAATCCTTCGACAGCGCGGTGCAGGAGTCTGTCCGAACTTTGTAATCTCAGGCGCGTAGTCCATCGACTCGTGGGGCTCTTGATTATAGATCAATGTGGGCCATTATGGGGACACCTGCTGCTATCGACAATGCTATTATGAAATATATCGATAGCTACCCGGGTATTCCGACAGTGAGCCTCAGCTCACCCAACCCGATATTGTTGCCGCCGTTTCTGCGGAGGTCTGATATCGAAGGATTCACTTGACCCGCTCCGATGCGTTGAGATATTACAAATATGAAGGCAACCGGGTTACCGGCGCTGATATACCGTATATCAATGTATTTCCATACGTCGTGGTGTTCCATGATAAATTGAAACAAGTGGCTAGGCTCAACTCTTAGTGAAAAAGGAACATCAATCCCAAGTATGAAGGCGAGGCCGAGGGTATATCTGGCATGCTACGGTGGACTCGAAATCTCATCGATGGGAGCATCTGGACCTGACAAAATCGCGGTCCCGACGGACTCCGCTTCTCTCCTAAGTGCGATCTCCTGGCGAGCTACCACCTACATTCATAAAGCAACATCCCAGGCACATTTGTGAAGGAGGCCAACCCTTACATCTTCGACATAGCTCTCCATTTATCATCAGCATCTCGTGTTCCCCGTTACAATCCCTTCCTCCCTCCCATTAACCATCAGCTAACACCCCACAAGTTCCAATATAAACAAAAAATCGCACATAAGATAAAAGGTAGGAAAGCGAATCCTGGTTTCCGCGCGCCCGTTGACCCTTCCCTAAACCCCACCGCTTGAACCCAAAAGAGGAAGAAAGGAGCAATGATGAACGATATGAGAGTTGAAGGAGTACAAAAAAGGAAAAGAAAAGAAACCAAGAGACAGGTACGTTCGACTGATACGCGATGGATGTAAAGAGAAACAAAACCCAAGAGGACGCTCGCGCGGCGGGTACGAAAGCAAGAGAAAGAAACCAAAACAGAGAGAAAAACAACAATGACCCAATATTTTTGTGTGCCCCTTCGCCATCCCATGGGGGAAAC